ACAGTCACTCTGTAGAGATTACACTGTATTTGTACTGCAAAATATACATTGATGAAACACAAAATTTACAAAACAACACATTAGTGTAAAAAAAAAGATTTTTACCAAATTATGTATCCCAGCAATAAAACTAACAAACAGTACACCATTATTAATTGATACATTTCTATAAAGTATCATTTACATCTCTGCAAAAGAACAATACAACAAAGCTTTATAATACATCTAACAGATTCAATACAAACTATCAAACCAACAAGAAGATTTTAACAACAATTTAAGATATGATCTGCTTATATATTATAATAAGCATATCTGATGAGGAAAACTAATCTTCAAAAATCAAAGTTCAGTAAAAATATTTAACGTTTCAATATTGTGTAACTTTTCACAATCCAAATGAAACAGAGATTAATGATTTTGTTGTCCAAAGTATGACAAAATTTATTATTTTCTTCATGTAATAGAGATTTCTGCATGTTTTGACAGCTATAGTTATGTATTTAATGAGTAAGTAAGTAAAAGTCTTAGGCTAGGTTTCAATAACTTTACTTGTATTTTTGATACCATTTTTGCTAGTTAAAAACAAAGTGTCCATAACAATCAACACCAATATGGAGGCTGTGCTGCTTCACCATCAATAACTGATATACAAAAAAAATAAAATTAATCAACTCAACATTGTACATTATTTATAGATATCACTCAGAGTTGTCAGGCAAATATTGCTGATACTCATCAGTAACATCCACAATCATTCCTTCCTTGGTAACTCGAACAATATGTGGACTGTCACCATGTTTTCCTTTCTTTAACCCAAGTAACATCTTTTTCCGGGCTCGGTCCTCATCTTCAACTCTTGTGCACATAACATAGCATTTCCTCTTACCGCACTGTTTTGAACTAGCTACATTATGTGATTCATCCTGAGCAAGGTCAACTTTGTTTCCTGCATCCTGTCTAGGCTCCACATTGTTTCCATCATTATCTGACTGAGCAATATCAACAACCTTATCATGTTCACATACATAATTCACACTAGAAGAATTACAAACTGAGCATTTGTTCTTTTTTGTTTCACCATCAGCTGCTATATCAGTCAAAACTGCGGATTTATCATCATCACACTTTAATAAACTGGTCGTGCTGGGAAAAGTAATAGTTTCTCTTTTTGTACCACTGTTTTGGTCAAAAGTGTTGAAGTTTTTAGATTTGCTATCAATATCATTTTCTGTCTCCTGCAAGGGCGACGAGCATTGAACTATTTTTGTTTGGTTTTGCAGCTCCGTATTGCCATCTTCCACAACAGATCTTGGTAAGACAGTATTATGCATTATACTGTGGCTTTCAACATCAATATCATCTTTAACAATAACTTGGAATGCAGTCTGGCCTACACTCAAACCATCTTCAACATCAATATGGTGGCAGTCTTCTTCAGTTTTAAGCAAATCTGTTTTCGGGCTATTATTTGTGGATCTTAACTGATTTCTGCCATCAGAAGTAGTATCATTGTTGTTAACTGTCTCTTCACTATGATTCATCACATTGTCTACAATTCCTGCAGTTTCACAAAAACCACCTCTTTTTTCAATATCAACACTTGAATGTTTAGCATTCACTACGGAAATAACATTCTTGTGTCTATTTTCAATAGCCTGATTGTTCAAATCTTTTTCTTGAGATTTATCATTACTATCATTAAGCTCAACTGACCAGTTCAGAAACTTGTCTAAGTCTTTTAAATTATCTGTCATACCCTTTGAACTATTTTCAGTTAGTAACTTATCTAAACAAGCTTCATTTACACCTGCATCTTCAATTATAATACAATCTTTATCAGCATTAAATTTTCTATCAGCAGCAATCCCTTTCATAAATACAGGTAATATTACTGAAGTCTTATTCTTATCACATTCAGCACTTCTTGGTCCATTGTTTCTTCTTTGATTAGTTTTGTCAATAAACCCATTAAATAACATCTGTTTTTCAACATTGCACTTACTATTTTGGTTTTCCTCCCTTATTGTTGAATTTGCCATGTTCCCATGACTGGTTATCTCAGAACTTTTTGATGTATTCATTTTTGTTTTACCCTTAATACTTAAATCAAGCCCTTTACAATTGGCATCAGTATCAGTTATTGTATAAGGTCCAATTAAATCACCAACAACATGGTTTCTATACATAGGTTTGTTTTCTTGAACATCATGTTTTACAGACTGACAATTCTTTTGAGTTTCATCGGAATTTACAATTTGCTTTGTAACATATGCTTCATTTTGCTTCAAAGGTTCAACATTTTCTGCTTTCCTGCCATGTAATTGGTTATCAGCATGAAGCTTTTCACCTGATAAAGTGTCTTTAACATCTTCATCTTCTATAAGATTAATAACTTCAGTTTCAGATTCTTTTACATTTTTACCAGTACCTGTATTTAATGATAGGCTATTTCCTTTATCATTTACATTTTGCTTTTTAACAATATTTATATCTTTATTATCATTATTATGCTTCACATTCATTACTCTTACATCAGCACATGGATCTGTACAGAGTTCCTCATTATCTTCTTTACCTGCTTGTGTTTTGTCCTTTGAGACATCTGATCCAACATCTCTAAAGCATTCCACAACAAGGATATCACTACTTGCATACTCAACAACATCTACAGATGCATTACTATAACTTGACACTTTTATATTGTTTGTTCCAGTCGCTCTTTTCCAACAATCAAGATTAGATTTTCTATTTCTTCTACAACGCTCAACACAAGTTTTGTCTGTGCAAATATGTTTCTTTGGATCTCTCACCTCCTTTGGATTTGGTTCTGGCCAACTGGCCAACTTAATATTCAACTTACCCTGTGACTTAGACTGGTCTGCCATGTTGCTATTTCTGCGCTCATTTGAAAATTCCTCTATCTCTGTACGAACTTTTCTTTCTACATTACCACAGCTCCCTTTTCGTTTGCTTCCTTTACCTTTACAAACTTCAGATTCTGATCTATTTGCAGCACTTGTAGTAGCATTATTCATATCTAGATCAACATATAATGGAATTTTCATATGGTTTGCAACTATTCTATTCAGACCTTCTACATATGAGTAAGGTTTTTTAGTTTTAAGCAACTGACATTCCTCATTTGTTGGAGACTCCATCGCACTTTGATCTACCTTGTGATGCTTGTGTTCTTTCTGTGATATCTCTACACCTGTACTTATGCCAGAACTTTTCTTTAAACCTTCGTCTTTGCTTTCTGTTGTCCCCGATTCAAAATTTGGATCATGTACAAACTCATCTATATAGGTCACTGACCCAAACTTTTTTGTAAGTTTTTTTAAACATTCATTTTTAACGTTACTGCTAGATCTACACCCTTTCACTTTAGCACTCTCTTTGGATTTTATTTCTGTCAAACACTGACCAATCCTCTCACAACTTTTACTCCTGCTTTGTCTCTTTTCACTGCTACTTACATCAGCAGTATTTTCCGACTTTGTCTTATCAATACGAAAATCTGTTTTAACATCTTTCCCGTCATGTTCTTCAATTTCAAGATTTTCAACAACAACATCTGGTTTATCATTTTGATTCACTTCAAACTCATGTGCAATCTGTCTTCTACCAGACATTACCTTCAAACAAATGCCCTTATGTCTAAATGCTGTCTCAGTTGTTGCTCTTGGAACTGTCAGTGATTCAAATGTCTGTAAAAAATAAATCATTTTTTAATTTATTTTTTTTATAAAAAATGTAAGAAAATTTAAATCAGGGTATCTAAAGGAATTATAGATGAGATAATTACTATATAAGATTATGTAATCACAAAAAAAGACAATGCACTCAAAAACCTACACATGTTTTTTGAATAATAAAACAATTGTGTCAACCACACTTGGATGTCAAAGATATACTTCACAGTCAGCCAGAAGTATGTAATGTTGTGACAGACAGAGCAAAAATAATTTGTCCCTTATCTAGTGATCTGACGGGCATTTATGTAATAACTATGTTAATATATTAATAAAAGCTTTGACATGAAACTATGATTGGAAAAGCTTTCAATGCATCAACAAATTATTTGTAATAACACTTCAAAATTCACCCTTAAATGGACTCCATTGATCTTGTTTTTGTTTGGCATGAGGGTACTGCATAAGTGGATATTTCTTTTTTCTGCATTTTTATTCTATTTTATAAAGATCTATTCCAATAACTTGTGTGCAAAATTTTAGAACATTCCCTTATTTTGTTTTTCCATAACAGTCATTTTTGTAGTGTAAAATGACAAAAATGAAAAGTGTAATGCTTTTTTATTTCCAATCAGGCTCAGAACCACACTTAATATCAGTTTTCACTTGAATTTGTTATCTTTTATCTTAATTCAACTTCAATAGGTGGCAGTCTAGAAGTTACTATAAGTAGCCAGCTTTGACTGTAATAGCTGTCCTTTATAATATCATTTTTAATTAAAAGGTTGTACATTAAAGTCTCTGTAACTAAATTTAATACAATTTGGTAGTCAACTAAGGAAAGATATACAAAAAAGATATTATGTGCAAAAATATTAAAGCTTTCTATACATTGTTCACTTCCAAAGGAAGAAGGAAGGATTGGGGACTATTGGCCACCTCACTGCTCAGTCAAGCATATCAAAACTAAAGCTGCAATAAAAGTGACGAATACCCCCACTATCTCTAATGACAGAGGATTTTATTTAAGTGCGATAATCATTCTTTTTGATAGCCAACCTTTCAGCAAAGATTAATGTAAATCCTTCAAGGGGTTTAGGACTAACAGCAGAAACAAAGTTGTCAAACAGTTGAACTTCAAGGGTAACTCTGACTATGAGATAGCACAGCAGTGTTTATTTTCTTGAGTTTTAAGTCATACCCGCTTTGTAGATCATACGGTGACTTTCCAGCTGTCCTCATGGGCATCTGTGCATTATTTTAGGTATAAGTGGGCACCAGAGTATAACCAGAGATGTTCTGTAGGCTCTAAAGTCTAGAATCTAAAGTCTTTGCCTGGTTTCTTATTCACAGCAGTAAAGAGTGAGTGACTCACAGTAAACAATCTAAACCTTCATAAAATTAATATTTGAGCCAAGTTCGTTGAAAATCAATCAGGTAGCATAGGATTTATAAAACAGACATTGTGGAGATGGACATACAAATACCAGTATAGTCCTTTCCACAGTGTATGGTAGGGGTATAATAATGCTTACCTCACTTGGATTCTGTTCCACCTTAACTTCTTCATTATCTTCATATTCACTGTCAGCCTCAACTTTTGCGACCATGTTTGAGCCTTCATTTATCGATCCCACAAAACTCTTTTCACATTCTTTTTCATGCATCAAATAATGTTTGTTCAAATATTCTTTTCGTGCAAAACCTTTATTACAGATGACACAAACAAACTCCTTGCTATTGAGATGGAAACTTTTGTTGTGTCTCAAAAAACTTCCTGAAAATCAAAACATGTTTGTTACAACTTTTAGATATTTTCTGCATAAAATTTGGGGCTTTCATAATAATTTAAGTACAACAGCTGTAGGGTGTATTGGGAGACAAAGATTCTGGTTACTGCTTAGAAGTTTTGCTAAACACAGGTAAAACTTATTGTGAAGTTACTTTGGAGAAAAAAAAAATGAAACCGTTGTTTAAGAGGTGTTTGCTCAACAGAGGGCCTCTGTAAAGAGGTTGTACTATAGATTTATTTGATTTACAAAATATGTACATATTCAATAATCCTTGATACAGCTTTCTTAAGTTTTTTCTCTGGCAACTATGCAGCATTACAAAAAGATAAATTATTTCAGTACTGTTTGTTTTTTTTGGTTTAATTGGGTTTTATGTCACACCAACACATAATAGGTCATATTGCGACATTCTAGCTGTACTGATGGAGGAAGACCTCAGAAGCCCTTCCGTACATTATTTCAGGCACAAACTGGCACCTGAGTAGAACCACTGACGTAAGCTAGCCGGATAGCTTCCTCACATGAAGGAATCCAAACTCCCTGTCGGGATTCAAACCCATAGCGGTGAGGGGCAAGTGGTTTGAAGTCAACAACCTTAACCACTCAGACATGGACACCCCCTATTTCAGTATTAACTTTAACATTTGTTCATAATACAATACATACATAGTAAACACTTACTCTTATGAGCGAAGACTTTGTCACACAGCTGACATTTGACAGTAGGCTTCTGTCTGATGTGTACGAAGAACCTGTGATTTTCCATATGTTGCACATGATCGAACAGCCTGTCACAGAACTCGCACTTTATCGAGAACTCTCCAGAGTACGTGGCATGCCAGTTCATGTGTGACTTAAGCTCTATCTCCTTCGTACATCTCTTCTTGCAAATGTTGCAACTGTAATATATAGAAATACAGATGCCAAGAAAGTTTCAGTGACCTATATAGTATGATTAAGTCACTTAAAACTTTACCAATATAAAAAAAAATTGAAAAAACACCATAAGAAAGCTGTTTTAAATGTGTATACTTATTCTCAAAAATATATGCAATTTTCATTACTTAAAATTTCATTCTGTTCTGTAACCATATCCAATTTTCATCATCTAAGATATTCATTTATGGATTTTTGTTCATTTTTTTTTCTGTAAGATAATCACATAACTTTGTGAAGTTTCAACTCATTCCTTTCAGTAGTTTTGGAGATGCCAACTTACCATAAGTTAACAAGAGGGTCATGATGGCCCTGAATCCCTCACCAGAAACATATGTTTTTCAGTGTTAGAAATAATTTTTCAGATGAACTTGCCTAAAGGCAAATTCAGCTCAATTGTAACTTGCCCCTCTAGTTATATAGTTTCACAACACCAATTTTTTTCTCTAAAAAAAGAGCCTTTCACAAATGGCCCAAGTTTATTGGTACTGTACATCTGGCAAGTAAAGCATGTCAACTCACTCTTTCTAATTTCCTTTTCATACTGGAGCCTTTTTTAAAAGACTGCCTAAGAATGCTACAGACAAAGTTTGGTGATCCTCCATCAATTAGTTTTATAGTAGGAGAAGATGTGTTAATGTTGTTCTATATTTAGCTCTGTTGCCTCCTAAGAGGGGGCAATTGTAATGATTTAAGCAAATTGTTATCGTCACAAGGATGCTACAGAGCAAATTTGAAGTAAATCTGCCCAGCAGTTTCAGAGAAGATGATTGTTGACGCATGATGACGGACACTGGACTGGAGTATCCCCCTTTGATACTAATAGCTCATCCTTCCGTTCTGGTAAGCTAAATACAAAATGGTATTTGCAATTCTGACATCAAAAGAGTACAATAAGCTCTTCCTTTTCTTTGAATAGTCAAGCTGATAAAACATTTTCTGAGTTAAGAAAATGTAAGGAAAAACATTGTTAAAAAAACATTGTAAGAAACATTAATGAAAATGAGTAAACTAATGGTGTAAAATTGTGCTGAAATATATCAAAACGACTAAATCTTAAAAATACAAACAAAAGTAATTATTCCATCAGTCAAGTAAATTAAAGTTAGAAATCAATCTAAGCATAATTACATAAAAGACATCTTCCTCCTTATTGCAATCATATAATAAACCAATGAATAAATTTCTCTTGGTTTCACACAGGGGTTTCACACTGTAAATATAAAAAAAATAACAATATCAGTATTTTGTTGTGCATGATTAACTGCAAAAGGAAACTGATATGTGCTTCAAAGGCAGAATTCAGATTGTTTTCCCTCGAAATGCGAATTTCAAAGTAATAATGCTATTACTTCTGACCTACAAAATGTACTTTTGAGGACATCCAACATGATCAAAGTCTTAAGAAGAATGATATACTTTATCATAATACATGTACCATCATGTTAATATGCTTCTTGTAAATAATATATATAATTTATAATAAATAATTAAACATTATTCCATTAACATATAGTAAAACACAACTTTATGCAAGCATAAATATCACAAATGCACAGATGAAATAGATATACAAACTTCATATAAAATTACTAATTTAGTAATTGCCAATGTGGCAGATTAGAAATACACAAAAATTAATTTTATTAAAGCAAAACATTTGAATCTGAACAATAAAATAAACAAAGGGTTGTATCATTGAAACATACTTTTGGTGTCTACAGTATGGGTTTAAATTGGGTTTGAATTGTATTTGCATCAAATACTTCATCTGGCCACTCAACATGTTCAAGTCAAAAAAATTCAATTTCTTCAGAAAATACTGGTTTCCTAGTAGTTTGCAGTCCCAAGTCAAAGTTATTAATAAATAGAATAAAAATCTGCCTTCGCACGAGTATAAAACTTTGACAGAACAAAATTTGGTACATGTCCAGAATCACCATGTTTTCAATGTTGCTCTTTTACTTTACTTTTTGATTGGATTTGGAATATAGGCCTGAATGCAACACCCTTTCTCACTTTTATTCAAAATTTCATAGTAGTTTTTCGACCTTTTTATTTTGAATAAGTTTTTTATTTTAAATATTAAGATGTTCAAATATAAAGTAGATCTATACTGTCATTAAAATTGATAAAACTTATGTTTTGCTCAAGAAAAGTATGGTGTTTAATAGATCTATTTGTTTCTTTAATGATGGAATAGTTTTACTTGTCGTAAGTTTTAGTATACACAGTCTGTAAACAATGGTAAAATATAACTTCTGGGCCTCTTTTATCTGTCTATACACTATCCGAAAATGTGTATACTTTTGCTCGTGTTTGTCTCTGCAATAACGATCAAATCACATCGACATTAAGAAAAACATGAAACACTCCAAATAGAAAGTAAATAGTTTACCATAATACATTTAATTAAAGCTGACAATCGTGCATTCTTGTACATTTAAATGTCAAATATCGCTAACACTTTGTTCAGAGAGGTCAGGTGTAAACCAACCAATTTTAATTATCGTTGTCATCTTCATTGGGTCAGAGTGATATACTCAGTTTCCTTCTTTCTCTTTTTTGACACCACGAGGCATATTGATGTTAAAAATAAAAAAGTGTTGATCTAAGTGTTTGGTTCCCATAAAATCGTTTGACTAATCCTTTGCCTGAAAATATGTAAATGTATGTTAATTTTCTATCATAGCAAATAAAACAAAGATTTAGATAATTATACATGTAAACATAGCATAGCATTTCCTTGCAAATGTTTACATTATGCAAGTGAAATGTGTATCAATATTTTGAACAAGAGCTGCCAATTGGACAGCATGCTAGACTATTCTCAGTGCTTCATAGTAAAATATATAAGAGCCTGGATAATGTAAGAATTAACAAAATTAGGAAGATTTCATTCATCAAATACAAATAATGTACATGAAATATTGAAGTAAAAAAATTTTTTAGAAAAAGGGCCATATTTCTGTCAAAATGCAAGAGAGTTATGGGCCTTGAATAGTGACCTTCAATTATGATCCAACATAAGTTAAAAATGGACCATAATTCCGTTAGAATCCAAGCGAGAGATATGGGTTTTGGATACTGACCTCCAAATATGATTCTGAAGACTCGTATTGAGTTGCAAGTAAATATCTTCCGTAGCTTCGAAGATAGATCTTGCATGTAAAACTTTTACCCAGAATTTTTTTACATCAGTCTGTCAAAATTCATACTAGATTTATGGGACTTGGATAGTGACCTCCTATTATGCTCTCAAATAAGTATGTGAAGTTACAAGCATATGTTATGAGTGAATGATGAGATATCATGTTTTTATGCAAAACTTGAACGAAGCCAGCGCCTAGCTGATTAATACCCCTACCGTTCTTTGAAGTGAGCACTATGAGTTGTTTTTCTTATGTGTGTATAATACTGTTTCCATTTTAGAATTTTATATCATTTTCCCAGCTGCCAGGTATTTAAGACCATCTATCTCTCTTTCTCTCTCTGGACTTGTCATATAAACTTAAGTGGTCAAGTGGTTCATATAGTGTTAACTTCTTTGCAATTGCTGTTTCTTGTTGAGTTTCAACTCTTGTAAACAGGCATGTGCAGTCATGAAAGAGATTGTTTACTAGTTGGCTACCACATATTAATTTATATAACTAGATAAAATAAATTAGAGACTGGCCTGCTACTGCTGAAACTATATATTCTTAACTCATAATCTCATTTAACCATATTGATCATTACCAGCATAGTATCATCTATATCAATTAGGTTCCTGGGAAGTTACTTTGTAATCAGTCAACCACTTTTGTCAGGTTACCACTAAAACATTGAAATAACCATGTGACGATCAGATTTGTATGATCAGTTTTTCTATACATTATGTACCTATTACACGACTTTGTATAAACAATTGTAAATCCCCTTGTGGCTGAGTGTTGCTTTAAAGGGTTGAGGCATCAGAATTGCAGTCATGGTTATCCTGGCCTCATTGTAAGAGACGACTAAATGGGTAATATTACAGGAGTCTGTGCATCTCTTAGCTCCGGCAGGTGGTGGTTTTGACCCTTGGTGTTGCTTCAAGTTTGTATCACTCAAGATAAGCCAAAATCATCTTTTTTGTATTGGCGACATATGACCTAAATTGTGTTGGTACGCGGTAAAACCAACAAGAGGGCCATGATGGCCCCCGAGGTCGCTCACCTGAATAAAGGCACCCGGAGCGGGGCCAGTTTAAACCCCAGGGCTTTTATTTGAACAAACTTAGAAGACACCCATTAGAAGATGTTTCACAATGTTAAGTTTTTACTACACACATATAATGAAAAACAATGATCTACTCCCCCCCCTGTCATGGCCAATTTTAATCCAGGGGCTTTTATTTGAACAAACTTGGTAGACACCAATAAGAAGATGTTTCATGCTAAACATCTAAGCTCTAGCTCATTGTGTTTTTTTAAAAGAAGATTTTATAAGTTTTTACTATACACATATAGTTAAAAACAATGACACCCCTGGGGCAGGGCCAGTTTTGATCCAGGGCTTTTATTTGAACAAACTTTGTAGACACTCACTAGAAGATGTTTCATGCTTAATATCTAAGCTCTAGCTCTTTGGGTTTTTTAAAAGTAGATTTTTTAAGTTTTTCCTATTGGTTGCCATGGCAACCAGAGTTTTTAATGGAATTTAAATTTTTGAACAACTTTGAAAGGGGTCCACCTAAGGATCATTTCTGTAAAGTTTGGTTGCAATTGGCCATGTGGTTTAGAAGGAGATGTTGTTTGAAAAGTTTGACGCCATTTTTTGAAGGACGCATGACGCACGCAGAGTGATGACAAAAGCTCACCCTTGAGCACTTCGTGCTCAGGTGAGCTAAATAAACAACAACAAAGAATTGTAAACATCTTATGATATAAACAACTGTTTATAACCAGCCATGAAATCTGTCATGTAAACAATGGTTTCCTTTGATTAAAATCTAAATTACTTATAAACATCCAAGCTGTAATGTATTAGAGCACTGCTTTTATTCAATTAAAGCCATGATTACAGCATATTAGTAAGGCCTGTAAGGGGAATGTTAGTGAGGGGGGAAATGTACAAGAAATACAAATGTAGTTTGTAATTTTATTTAACTTTTCCCTAAACAATTCCGAAAAATAACCATACTTATATGAATATTGCCTAGGTATATGACTAGATTACAGTTTATATTGCCTTATTAAAGAGAGATAGGAAGTTCAAACAAAAATATCAACACTTGGATTTGGAATGGCTGTAAAACAAATTATTTTTAAAAGTTCATGGATATAACAGTTTTCAGCAGTACTTTTTTTAACAATCTAAATACAAATAATACGTGTCTACAAGCAGGAAAAAAAGAGAAAAATTTATGTCCACTGTGATTGCCTATCAAAACAAAATGTATCAATATAAGGAAATTTACTTTTTTTGCAATCCATCAAATATAGAGAAATGTTGACAACTGGAAAGAATATATTCAATAAACACCATGCTTGCCATTTGAAATGAAACAGATACATGCTTATAGTGAATTAAAATAATGAACACCTTATTTACAGGAAACTTGCGTACTTTGACCTACATTCTGCAGAGAGTGCTAGCTGTCTTCATTCTCAGTCCAAACAGCGACTGGTTCTAAACTATTGCAGATAAAGATCAACTTGCCCTCTGCTCATGGTCTGCACTGTTCACTTATAAGTCAATAAATATTTTTGACATATGACTAATGGTTTTTGTCCAGATTTAGCGTAGTAAAGTCAATTAATCAAGAGTTCAGTCATTATGTCACATTATTTTAACATGTAAAACTACTGAACCATAAACAACTGGCAAAAAACTGCTGCCAACTAATTGAATGGCTATCATTTAGCAAGTACTTTGGTTACTCTAATTTCCTTGTAATCAAAACTTGTTTCCAAAAAAAGATCTAAATGAGCTTTTTTCTACATTGTATATCCCTGCCCCATATTATTTTAAAATCATTTTAAGTAGCACAATATAATGGCTTTTACCTCTTTGGGGTTATACATAAATGTAAACCTTGGAATACCAGTAACAACAAAAAAATGTAACTTATGTAAAAATTTTGTTGAACACATAGGGAATGTAAAGTTTACAGTAAACACAACTTCATGTCGAAATGTAAAATATTATTGTACATCCGATTTTAAAGCAAGAGTATTCCAAAATGACTTTACTTAAAATTCTTTGTGACAAACCTTAATTAACTGAACAATGTAGGGTCAGCAGCAAAAAATTGTTTTTCAAGAAATATTCACACATAGCAGTCCTTTCTCTAGGTTGATAAACATAAATGCTTTAAAAGTTTACTAGGAAAATGCCCCTTCTTGTTAGTATTTATTTCCAAACACAAATTTAAAATTACTCAAATCACCATGACTTGTAAGGTAAATTTTGAAACTTTTATTTCTGCCTACATGTGCTTAAGGAAAATTGACGCCACTGAACCAAGATAACTTGAAAAGAATTTACATAATTGTATGAAAATACGCAAGAGAAAATATTCTACAATATTGGCCCCTAGGTTTGAAAAAAAGAAGATTTTCTTAAGTAGGTCTACATACATGTAACACTGAGCATGTACCAATGCATGCAAGTAATTTAACAAACCTAACAATATTAAACAATATCATATCATAAGTAAACTTGGCAAACAGTTCTTCACAAATACATTTTATACACATACATTTTCTTTTCTACATAGTATATGACAAATAGCACATTTACATATACAATGTCTTAACCTTCAGTGTCTATGTTTATCTTCTTTATTTACATGAAAACTTGAGTGGATAATACTGGAAGACAATCTCCAACAATAATTACATTTCAAAATCATGGCAACAGGCAAAGACTGATTTCTGCTATTAATGCAGCCAAATGTACTAACAAAACAATTCACATGTATTCCTGGTCCAGAAGAAAATGTTATTATTAATAAGTTGATATGTAGGAACCAATATCAAAAAGTGCAAGTTTATTACCGTGAACACATTGTAACCTTATGATCATCTAAATAAGCAACATTTGTCATGTAAAATAATATTCTGAATATAACATAAATCATCATCTTAGTGCAGTAACGGGTTAACTCCTTATTTAAATTAATGATAGTTAACCTGTTACTGCACTAAGTTGAAGAAATCATATTATTGCATAGATATGTAACCATTATTTTCAAACTTAAGAATATCACCATCTATGATATTCCATAGGGAATGTACATGTATATACATGTTTAATAAAAATCTTTCAATTCATTTATTTAGATTGACATTTTGAATACCGTTGGCTGAAATATCAAAATAAATCATTGACATTGAAAGAATAAGTTTTAGATTACATGCTAAAATTGCTTCTTTTTTATTTATTTTTTTTTTATGTTTTTTTTTTAAACAAGTGGTCCTACAGATAAACCAATAAGACTTTGATATGACATCATTTTACCAATGATATAAATCAACCTAACCTGTTAATGGCCAATTTGAAATACCATATACATGTACATAACTGCCATGTAGCTACTGTTTTTTTGGGTTTTTTTAATTAAATTGTATCTATATACATAAAACATAAAATTAAAATAAAAAAAACAAATATAAAATGCCCATTGCTTAACGTAAATACTTTTTACATGTATACTACACTTAAAATATAACATGCTTCATAAGAGAGACTTAAATGATATGTTTTACTTCTTATCGACAGTTATAGGATATGGACGGACAGATTTTCACAAATCATTAAGGTATTACTTTTAACATATTTATTTATGCTCGATTGGGAAACAAGTTCTTGAAACTTATATTAATCATTTTCGAGTCCGCTCCCTGGAACCAACCGGTACTGGTGTCATATGAGGAAACATGGTCGTAACCCAAGTAGTGCGCAAACCTATGATCCCTGGGTTCAGAGGCAGACACCTTAACCACTAGGTCACCCCTCCCAATTAAGGTGTTGAAAAGAAGTGTAACCATCAAATATTTGAAACCATTTATCTATAAAAAGTTTCAACACTGTAAGAAAATAATCTTCACTATGACTTTAACCTTTCTGCTTTATTTATGCAAGTAACTGCATGTTACTATCATATAAGATGTTAATTATGTATTATAGTTGATAAATGATGAAAACTGAACACAAAATACTGTTCATACTGTTCATTTTTGATGGCTTAAAGAGGCAAATGTTTAGATATTTCTTTGGTAGCTCATAAAATATACACAATCTGTCAACTATTCTTAGTTTCAATTCTAAATGTAAAACAATATGACTGAGCTGCGTCTAACAAAACCAACTTAATGCGTTTGCGACCAGCATGGATCAAGACCAGCCTGCACATCCCGCAGTCTAATCAAGATCCATGCTGTTCGCTTACATACCCTATAACAAGTAGAGAAACTGATAGCGAACAGCATGGATCCTGATCAGACTGTGCGGATGCGCAGGCTTGTCTGGATCCATGATGGTCGCTAAAGCATTACGTTGGTTTCGTCATGACAAGGCTCATATGTAATCTACAGTAATCTCAAAAGGTTTTGGGTTTTTATTTGCTATTATAATAATAACATAGCAAATTTGGCAACAAACAAAAGCACAGTAGACCTTTAACATGTCAGTAATAACTGTCCACTGGACCTTCCGTGCTTTTGTGTCTAAAATATTAACAAACATAAAATATAAAATGTAAACTTGAGGGGAAAATAATTAAGCTATGTATAGACTATATTGTCTCCCATAACCTTCCTACAACAAGAGCACCACATGCGGTATTCACGCTCGCCTAATAAAAATTCTTAGTTAAAAAGGACCATAACTCCAAATGTGTTGCTTTCCAAATTATTCCCTTTGTCTAACAACTGCATCTTGTCATGATAAGCAAGTATTTCAAGTTCCATGTCGATAACTTTTGAAATATTTGAATAATCATTAATGGGCTACATTAATGGTTTTTGAACGATGACAACAATAGCGACAATGCAGCGATCATTATAGCCTGACTTTTTCTACAAAACAGACAAGCTAAATACTGTATGACGTCTTATCATAAAACACAATACAAACAATGAAGCTTACTGATCAAAATGCATAGCTTCAAACATATAGAGCCTGAGTGGCAAAAAATTACAACTTAATCTCTATGAAATACTGTACAATTTCATGCCTTAAATTGACACAGGAAAAACATCAATTTTAATTAAAAAAAGATAAAATAAAAGAAAATATAGCACATTTCACAGTCTGAAAATGAAGATGACAAAATACTGCTATTTTTTATATATACATAGTTTTATGTTGACTTTTTCATTTTTTAACAATCTTATCTTTCTAATCAAATTGTTTTAAAATGTTCACCATTTTAGAACTTCTACTATGTTATCTTTTTCTCACAGTTTTATCAGTATCATAATGCTTATTTCTTTCTCTCTATTCTAATTGTTTAACAATGTTATCTCATTAAGTTTCACAATGTTATCTCTTTCTCCTAATTTCAATAATTTTACAATGCTATCTCTTTCTCACTCAATTTTAAAAGTTTCCAAATGTTATCTCTTTCTCTCTTAATTTTAAAAGTTTCACAATGTTATCTCTTTATCTCTCAATTTTAAAAGTTTCACACTGCTATCTCTTTCTCTCTCAATTTTAAAAGTTTCACAATGTTATCTCTTTCTCTTAATTTTAATAAATTTACAATCAATGCTATCTCTTTCTCTCTCAATTTTAATAGTTTTGCAATGTTACCTCTTTCTCTTAATTTAAATGTTATCTCTTTCTCAACTTTAATAGTTTCACAATGTTATCTCTTTCACTTAATTTTAAAATGTTATCCCTTTCTCAATTTTAATAATTTTACAATGTTATCTCATTCTCTCTCAATTCTAAAATGTCACCTTTAAATTTTAATAGTTTCATAATGTTGTCTTTGTATCTTTCCTCATCTGTGCTTCTAAAACTCTCCACTAGTAAAAACTCATATTCTACTATTCATACTTACTTTTTATTTATAACAACTGCATGGTGTAAGTGGTTATGTCTTATACTTTACCTAATGCTTATAATTTATATGCTTATTTTTTACACTTTTTAAAAAAACAAACAAACAAAAAACAAAAACAAAAAAAACATAATTATTTTTTTGTATGATCCTTTGATATGTATGTCAACAGACAACATGGTATTTGCTTCAGTAAAATGAAACAAGAGGGCCATCATCTGAGGTCGCTCACCTGTATATAGGCCTCCGCCCCCCCCTGATGACCCCCGGGGCGGGGCCAATTTTGACCCCAGGGCTTTAATTTGAACAAACTTGGTAGACACCCATTAGAATAGGTTTCATGCTAAATATCTTAGCTCTAGCTCTTTGGGTTCTTTAAAAGAAGATTTTCAAAGTTTTTACTATATGCATATAGGGAAAATCAATGACCCCCGGGGCGGGACCAATTTTGACCCCAGGGCTTTTATTTGAACAAACTTGGTAGACACCCATTAGAACAGGTTTCATGCTAAATATCTTAGCTCTAGCTCTTTGGGTTCTTTAAAAGAAGATTTTTTAAGTTTTTACTATATGCATATAGGGAAAATCAATGACCCCCTGGGGCGGGGCCAATTTTGACCCCAGGGCTTTTATTTGAACAAACTTGGTAGACACTCACTAGAAGATGTTTCATGCCAAATATCTAAGCTCTAGCTCTTAGGGTTTTTTAAAAGAAGATATTTAAAGGTTTTTCTTTGTTTTGCCATGGCAACCAGAGTTCTGCATGGAATTAAATTCTTTGAACAATTTTTAAAGGTGACCACCAAAGGAACATTCCTGTGAAGTTTGGATGAAATTGGCTTAGTTGTTTATGAAGAGATGTCATTTAAAGTAAAAGTTTACGGCCGGACGGACGCCGGACGAAAAGTAATCACAAAAGCTCACCCTGTCACTTTGTGACAGGTGAGCTAAAAAGAAATCCAATATATCTAGCACATTTTGCAAATAATGAAACAACCTCACATAACTTCACCAAGTACAAGTCCAGCAGTATGTAAGTTAAAATAAGCAGAGCTCAGTTATAAGAGTGTGAAAATTATGCATGGAAGCCTGGAACCGTGGCATTTACATATTTGTGGCATATGTAATAATAAGTTGGTCACATACTTGTAACAAACATCTCAGGCCAACGACCTCAAGGTGTTTGATTCCATTACGCAAACACACGCATGAAGTACAAACTCCAGAAAATTTAATACCACAATACAGCATGGTTACATACAAACTTATACCACTTCGTACATTTACCATGGACAGACCTCTGGTAAATCTCTCTTCAATACAAGGTCATCATTCTTGGTGTCAATTCTATCTACCATACTAAAGCTTCTCCCATAATTTGGTTTTGGAGGCTTTATACCATGCCTATCAGCATTTGCATTTGTTGTTGTGACATTGTCAAAGTCATCATTAGGAGTTGTTGACCTCTGCTGCTGTAAATCTTTTGTTGAAGACTGATTGCGAGTTGGAGGAACACCAAATCCACTTTTAGGAGCAGAAAAAACACTGTTAGGAGCACTAAAACAACCTTGGGAAGAGCCAAATCCACTTTGAGGAGCATCAAATCCACCCTTAGGAGCACCAAATCCACTTTGAGGAGCACCAAATCCACTTTGAGGAGCATCAAATCCACTTTGAGGAGCATCAAATCCACCCTTAGGAGCACCAAATCCACTTTGAGGAGCACCAAATCCACTTTGAGGAGGAGCACTATGTACACTTTGAAAAGCACGAAGTCCACCTTGAGGAGCCCCAAACCCACTTTGGGGAGCACTATGTCCACTTTTAGGAACACCAAATCCACTCTGTGATGCACCAAATCCACTTTGTGGAAAACCAATTCCACTTTGTGGAACACCAAAACCACCTCTGTTTACTCCTGAAGTTGGAGGTGGTCTCCTGACATTTGGCAAGCCTGAATTGTTGCCTTTTGAACTGGAGTAGAAAAGACAGATACATGTAACATGAAGATTGCCCTCATTCCAAACCATGTTGGTTTTTTCCCCACAGTGCAATTCATTACATAGTGCGTATCAAACATAAACAAATCTGAAGATAATACTGTTAATTCTTATGATTTAGTGAGCATGAAATAAGATGATTTTATCAAAGGACAGTTTGGTGGGTTCTTAGATTCATGGATTGTCTACTTATACAAAAAAATGAAATGCAATTAATTCAAAGCATAATAATCTTACAGCAAACAAACTTTTGCCTTACCTGTCATAAACTTTGTATACAAAAGCAGAAATGTTACAGTCTCTAGACACTTTTACATAATGATAAACATATCTTTCCCCCCATCAATACATGTTATTTGAAACCATTTTTTTTTCAATCTGAGTATTATTCTACATTTAAAACTTACAACATAAAACCTTGCTTACCATTACCATTCCAAATATCTTAAATGAACTTGTCTAAATTTCAATCCAGACAAAACCATTTATCATTTTTAAGGGAAATTTTCAACATTTATACCGACAGAATAGCAAAAAGAGCGGACCATAACCAGACAGCCCAGTTATGTCATCTGATCTTGGTCCACACAACCGGTGTAACCTGTTGCAGCCAGTATGAAGAATATGACCGTGACCCAAGCAGGGCTCAAACTCATGATTCCTGAGTTTAGAGGTAGACACCTTAACCACTAGGTGACAGCTCCCCTTAGTAAGATCAATCAGCATAAAGCATAAATTACCTTTGTCTTCGTTCAATGTTTTCAGCATTGTGGACTTCACAAACATACTCTCTTTCCTCTTTATATCTCAATGTATCAAAGTTGAATCCCTATCAAAAAAACATTATGTTAATTTATACTGAGAAAAAAAATCATAATAAATTGCAGATGTAATTGTTTAAGAATATGTAACAGTAAAATTATAAATGCTTGTGTCAACAGTTTTAACACTTGCCGCAATATTGGTGCGGATAAAGGGCATTCTCTATATAGTAAAGACTAGAAATGTGTCATCATGCCACGGATGCCCCCGCATGCAGCCAAAATTTCAGATGGTGCATTTATAATTTTTTTCATTTTAAGTTCAAAGCCCTTAAAACTTTTCAATGTTAACACAAACCATTTTCATACAATGTTCAAGGCACTGAAATTATTCAGTCTAAACCTTTTAAAAATAGCATATTGCATATTTGTAGCCAAAATAATGGCTAAAAGTAAGAGTGAAGAAACTGAAAGTTCAAATTTTTTCCAACAATCAGGAAAGATAAGTTTGTCTTAAATCATTGAACTACAACCAAATTCAAACTTAAACTGCTTATTCCTAAGATGTATCTATATCATTTTTAAAGTGAAAGGGACATAACTCTGCCAAAAAATCATCAAACCATGACCAAATTCCAACTTGACCTGCCCATTCCTTTGACATATCCATATGTCAAATTTAAGTTGAATATGTAACACTGTTGGGTAGATAATGAACAGAAGCAGTAAATTTCATATTATTTTCAAAGTGAAAGGGGCATTACTCTGCCAAAAATCATTGAACCATGACCAAACTCGAACTTGGCCTGGGCATTCCAAAAACATATCCATATGTCAAATTTGAGTTGAATGTGTAGTACCGTTGGGGAGATAATAAACGGAATCTGAAAATTTCATATTACTTTCAAAGTGAAAGGGGCATAACTCTGCCAAAAATCATTGAACCATGACCAAATTTGAACTTGACCTGCGCATTCCTTTGACGCATCCATATGTCAAGTTTGAGTTGAATGTGTTGTACCTTTGGGGAGATAATGAACGGAAACTGAAAATTTCATATTATTTTCAAAGTAAAAGGGGGCATAACTCTGCCAAAAATCATCCAACCATGACCAAATTCAAACTTGACCTGTATTTTCTCATGACATATCCATGTGTCAAGTTTGAGTTGAATGTGTTGTACCATTGGGGAGATAATGAACGGAAACTGAAATTTCATATTATTTTCAAAGTAAAAGGGGCATAACTCTGCCAAAAATCATCGAACCATGACCAAATTCGAACTTGACCTGTATTTTCTCATGACATATCCATATGTCAAATTTGAGTTGAATGTGTGCAACCGCTCTTAAGATAATGAACGGAAACTGATGATGAGGGAATGACAGAAGGACGGAATGACGGAACAGGGTAACACTATATGCCCCGGCCATAACATGGCGGGGGGCATAAAAATGTATTTCATAATGTAAGTAAAAGCTAAGCTTTCATTCCATTTTTTCAACTTTCTTAACTCTAACCCTTCTGAATCTATGATACACACATATGTTTACAGGCATCGAAAAATATTTTCAGAGTCACTCGTCCTGCAGGACAAGTTGCTACATCCAATGTGCGGGCAACATTTTTCTTCTGGTCCTGCATCAAGTTCTCTTAAATCTAACTTGTAATTATGAGCCTATGAGTGGAATTTTCGATCTCTGTCATTTATTCCAACTTCTTAACTTTTGAGTGTAAAAGACATGACCCGCCAGCACAGCCCAGTGGCAGTGTAAATTGAAAAGAACACAGAGTATCAGATCTTCTTAGCCTGCATAATGGTGAAGGTGGACTATTTTTTGCATTATGCAAGTCAAATTTAGCATTTATCATTCAAGTCAAATTTAGCATTTATCATTAAATAATGTACAAAAAATTCTATACTTTTACTTCAAGTTAAACTTTTGATAAACAAATAATATGCATACACATGTTATTGAATATCAGGGATAAACTGCTCTTGAATGATCTGGAATAAACTGAGATTGACAAATGTTTGCCAAGCTCATTAATCCCCGATACATGTCTGTCTTATTTTCATTACTGCTGTAACAAAGCAATATAAGAAAAGCCTCCTGGTCATTTTCAAATTAGGTAACAAAATAAAACACAAGTTACCTTTTTTAAACAAATATCTGGATAAAGATGTTCAGACATGGACCAGGATTCCAGTTTTCTCTTGGATAAATCACTTGCTCCAATCTCCAGCAATTCTTTTGCAGTATACTGGATTAGCTTTACATCGTTTACTGAAACATGATATTTAATGAAACCATTGTAATGACTTTTCAAAAATGTTTGAAAAAAACCTTATAATATCCTTAGAACAGATAAATGTGAGAATACATTACTTCAAGGTAATATACCAATAAAAGTTTTCAAAAATGACATCAGGGTTCGTACAGATATCCAATGCCAAAATTCAATGACTTTTTAAGCACTATTTAAGCATAATTTCCCATTTTTCAAGCACATTTGTTGCACATTTATCTCCACAATCTTCAACTTAAAAAGGAAAGTTAATCACCATTTTTTGTTGAATACAAATTTTCCTGGCCAAATTTTAAGGTTTTTATAGAAGAATAATAAAGGGCGCATAAAAAAACAATTAGTTCAAAACAACTGCAATTTGTTCACTTACTGTTACATTGAGCAAACATTTCATTGATTTTGATATTAAATTTGATCATTCTTTTGATTTTGTTAACTATTGACTTTTATCTATTCTGTTATTCAATCATTTTCAAGCACATTTTTAGCAAATTTAAGCACTTTTTAAGTACTTTTCAAGATTGTAATCAAATTCAAGGACTTTTAAGCACTTTTTTACAAATTTAAGCACTTTTTAAGAAAAGGATTCAAATTTAAGCACTTTTTAAGACTGTACGAACCCTGGACATATACCTGAACATTCTTTTGAAAAAATCAGGAGTTTTTAAACAATTAGTCATCACAGCCTTAGTTAAACATTTGGATACTATACAGAACTATATACTTTTTACTAACAGATGAAACCTTTCAATGAGATATTATCGCACTTAACAGCTGAATGTCTATATCTAATTATAAAGCCTAAAAAAGTTTTCTTTTTTATACAGAATTATTTTTTTTTTGAAACATACTAAGATTATGTAAATCAATTCGTCAAAAATGAACTGAAAAAATCAAACCCTTTATTAAATGATTTTTAAGAATAAAATAACACAACAATCATACAATCTATAAACAAAATCAGACCCATATCTCTAAAACTTACCTTTCTCTTCCATTAGACTCTGTTTAAAATATCTAAACATTTTACGGCGACTCAGAGCAGAGCCAAATCCAGTTGGCATTCCCTCTTCAACTCTCCAAATGTCTGTCTGTGTGGAATAAGGTGTAAGTGGCTCTCTGATAACCTGTACCACAGCATTCTTCCATTGGCTTACCTTCCCTGATTTCAACACTGAATTACTAGATCGAACTTCATCAGATTTTAGTCTCTCCAAGAGCCTTATATCTTCCCTCATAAACTCTAACTCCGCTTCGATGTCATTGATATCATCTGGTAATATTTCTACCTTAGCTGTACCATTCTGTACCACTCTCTTTTTCTCTTCTGGACTCCCATTCTCTAACTTTAACGAGTTCACTTTGCTTGATAGGTCTTCAATAAGTTCCCAAGCATACATTTGCTCATTAAAACCATCATCAGAATGACATGAACTTATAACATCGTCAGTTTCTGTTGAGGTTCTTGAAGAACAGCTTAAATAGTTGTCAGTTTTCTCTCTGTAATTCTGGTAGGACGGCAAAGATTTCACCTCTACACCAGACATATCACAGTTATTTGATATCACAGTACTATCATCAGTTTCTTTTTTCAAGTCTCCATCTGTCGCACTTCCACTACGTCTCTCCCAGTACAGTTCGGCCAAGTCACTTCCGCTTTTCTCAAAGCGTTCAACAGATAAATTGAAATCTTTATACTTTGAAAGAGCAAAACCGGCTTTTGGAGTAGCATCTAGATCCGAACCGTCATTATATATTGCACTATAAGTACCGGCACCACTGCATGTTTTAGCATTAGAAGGGGTAACAGGCCTTTCATTTTCTCTTTCAGACATTTCATTTGTATTTTGCTCTACTTCAATAATTTCAGACTCCCATTCGTCAGAGACTTGTTTGGAAGGTTTGTGAAACACATTTCGGTTCGAATGTTGGATTTCTTTTGTTACTACCACAGTAAAATCTTTTATAGTAAAATGATTTGCTTTGGTCCAATTATCATGTTTAACAACCACCTCCCTTTTTATATGATCTCTATTCACCAAGTCACTACAACTTCCAAATTCATCTACATTTTCAATGTCAACTTCACTATTCCTTTTCACTATTTCTTCTTTTACAACATTGTTTTTGGGTAGTTCAACGTCGTCTTCCCAACATTCTGTTCCCTTACTTATAGAAAGGTTTGACGGAACACTGTACGATCTATGAAACTGTGGTTTTTTAACATGATTTCTAGTGTCCTGATGAGAATGTTTCCGTTGCCTAGCACTGTTTCCAAGTCGGTCTTGTCCTTGGATGTCATCTAATGTCAAACTGTTGAACGGAACCATCTGATTTACTGTGGTAGATAGACAGGTCATCTGCTGCTGACCAAAAGTAAATGTTGATGTATTTTCTAGGTTATCCCAATCCTGAATATATAAACAACAAATGAATAAAAGAAAGTGCATATCTTCTCTGATTTAGTTAGTCTAGTAAAGCCTTTGAATGCTTGAAAGAAAATGTGTTGCCTTTAAAACCAGAATAGAGTCTTAAGGCAATAATGTTGGCCTTTGCCTCAGGATGTCTCAGACCAGTCTGCACACTTGTGTTGCCATCCACAATTGCCCCTGCCTTCACCGACAACCGCCTTATATCAGCATATTGAAGCTGAAATCTCTCATTTTAACCTTAGACACTTTTAAATTCAAAACAAAACAGTGCATTATTTATACAAATATAGAATGGTAAGGATTTAAAGAAAAATTTGATAACCTCAAATTTGAAGACTCCATATGATAAAAGTTCACTTTGGTGCCTTTTTTCCATTCTTCTATTTTTTTCAATCCAAATGACATTTTAAAATAGGACTTGCCCTTTTAATTTGTATTTCAATTCTTATTAACATAAAACAATTTCAATGTATTTTCTTAACAGGTCTCTTTTTTGTGCCCCGACACAAAGGTCACATCCTGTCGTTTAAATTAATAAAAGACAAAGAATGAAAATGATTCTTGTTATACTAAATCAAAATATTATTTGTTTATGAAAAAAGAAACACTTACCAAATCATCCTGATTTTCTGCCAAGCTCTCCAACAAACTGAAATAGTGCAGTTAAGAAAATGACCACACAAAAAAGGAATAGTTGACTAAGAAAAATGTTTCTGCTTTAGGAACAATTCTGGTAATTGTTTTTCTTAACATTTAACCTGTTGAATTTCTTAATTAGATATTTCATTTTTACTTTTCCAACTTCCATTTTTGGAACTGTACATTACCAATTTTGGGTATATCAAGATGGAAATTTCAAGTCACTTAGCCCATCACCATCAGTACCGAGCCTGGTCAGACTGTAGGGATGTGCAGGCTGACTGGCCCTATACACTGGCAGCGATGCCTTATAACTTCCAACTCAAGTGGGGTCAAGTTTAAGGGTTTCTTTTTAGCAATAACTAGAAATGTGTCCATAGGACACGGGTGCCCCCACCGCGCTACTGTTCTGTCAATCTTTTTACTAAGTCAAGGGAAATAACTCTACAAATACTGGATAAATCCACAAGCGAAACCCCAGGTGCAAATCAAAATATGCTGAGCAACCTGCACATAAGGTTTAATGACTATGTCAAATCCTTTTTCAGTAACTTGAGACACAAGTTGAAAATTGCAAAAATAACTCTAAAAATACTAAATAAATCCAGACGAAAATACCTGGTGCACAACTGCACATGCTGATCAATATTCCTGTAAAGTTACATGACTCTAGTCAAATACTTTTTCAGTAAAGTGCGACACATGTTGAAAATTGCAAAATTTTACTAAGTCAAGGGCAATAACGCTAAAAATACTAAAAATATCCACACGAAAATACCCAGGTGCACAACAACACACGCTGATCAACATTCCTGTAAAGTTTCATGACTCTAGGTCAAATACTTTTTTGAGTTACATGCGACACAAGTTGAAAATTGCAAAATTTTACTAAGTCAAGGGCAATAACTCTGAAAATACTAAAAATATCCACACGAAAATACCCAGGTGCACAACTACACATGCTGATCAACATTCCTGTAAAGTTTCATGACTCTAGGTCAAATACTTTTTGAGTTAGGTGCGACACAAGTTGAAAATTGCAAAATTTTACTAAGTCAAGGGCAATAACTTTAAAAATAATATAAATATCCACACGAAAATACCCAGGTGCACAACAACACATGCTGATCAACATTCCTGTAAAGTTTCATGACTCTAGGTCAAATACTTTTTTGAGTTACATGCGACACAAGTTGAAAATTGCAAAATTTTACTAAGTCAAGGGCAATAACTCGGAAAATACTAAAAATATCCACACGAAAATACCCAGGTGCACAACAACACATGCTGATCAACATTCCTGTAAAGTTTCATGACTCTAGGTCAAATACTTTTTGAGTTACATGCGACACAAGTTGAAAATTGCAAAATTTTACTAAGTCAAGGGCAATAACTCTGAAAATACTAAAAATATCCACACGAATATACCCAGGTGCACAACTACACATGCTGATCAACATTCCTGTTAAGTTTCATGACTCTAGGTCAATTACTTTTTGAGTTACATGCGACACAAGATGAAAATTGCAAAATTTTACTATGTCAAAGGCAATAACTCGGAAAATACTAAAAATATCCAGACGAAAATACCCAGGTGCACAACTACACATGCTGATCAACATTCCTGTAAAGTTTCATGACTCTAGGTCAAATACTTTTTGAGTTACGTGCAACACAAAAGTGAACGGATGGACAGACGGACGGAAGGACGGACAAGGGTAAATCTAAATGCCCGCCACTAACGTGGAGGCACAACAAAGCCATCATCACTTCATCATTGGCGAGGGCAACCATTTTATCATGGCACATAATTTCTTATTTTGACAAATAAAACAAACTTTGTATCTAAAAAGTCTTTCCAGCAGGGTAAAGTTTAATGGGTTTTTTTCAGGATTGACATAGCCATCATCATTGCTGAGGGGCAACCATTTTACCATGGCATATTATATTTCTGTCTTGAATGCATGCTTTTCACAAATAAAACAAAATTTGTATCAAACAAATTTATTCCAATAAGAAAATCAAAGTAAAAACAACAATAACTTTAAAGTTTTTAAAAAAGCACATATTTACATACTGGCAGAGTAAAATCAAAAAACATACACAAAACCATGTCATTATTTATAATGTGAACCATACTTAGGTATAAAATTAGAATAAAACATGATTTCATGAACCCTATGGATTTTATTAAGCTACTACATTTATCTCTCCCACCATATGAATGGATTAAAATTATATAATTAACTTTCTGTATGAAAATTGAAAGCTTTTGTGGCAATAGTATGGTTAACAAGTTGAGATCATAAAAAAATTGTTGGCAACAAAACAGACACATAATAAAAACTCTCACTACAAAACATTTCCTTTCATTACATACTTGTAAAGTTATACATATATTACAGTATAAAGGATAAGGAAAAGTTCAGTAAAAACAGTAATGTAGTACTAAATAAGTCCTTGTTTTCATTGTGTAATGGAAGCAGAAACAAGATTAAGATATGTAAGTAAGTGTAAGAATAAGGAAATTAGTGTTTTGACTACGTTTGTATAAATATATGCGCATGAATACAGATTTCTGCACTATGACTATCGTCACCTTAGTGCAAAAACTCAATAACTGCATATAGATAAAGAAGCAGATATTGAGTTCTTGCACTAAGGTGACACAGTATATGCCTATGAATGGCTATATGCATATAACTATATGTGTATGAATAAAGATTTGTGCACTATCAATGTATGTGTATGAATATGACTACAAATTTCTGCACTATGACTATATGCCTATGAATACAGATTTGTGCAGTATGACTATATGCCTATGAATACAGATTTGTGCAGTATGACTATAGGCCTATGAATACAGATTCGTGCAGTATGACTATATGCCTATGCATACAGATTTGTGCAGTATGACTATGTATACAGATTTGTGCAGTATGACTATATGCCTATGAATACAGATTCGTGCAGTATGACTATATGCCTATGAATACAGATTTGTGCAGTATGACTATATGCCTATGCATACAGATTTGTGCAGTATGACAATATGCCTATGAATACAGATTTGTACAGAATGACTATATGCTTATGAACACAGATTTGTGCAGTATGACTATGTATACAGATTTGTGCAGTATGACTATATGCCTATGTATACAGATTTGTGCAGTATGACTATATGCCTATGAATACAGATTTGTGCAGTATGACTATATGCCTATGCATACAGATTTGTGCAGTATGACAATATGCCTATGAATACAGATTTGTACAGAATGACTATATGCGTATGAATACAGATTTGTGCACTATACTATATGGGTATAAATAAAGATTTGCACACTATAAATGTATGTGTATGACTATGACTACAAAATTCTGCACTATGACTATATGCGTATGAATACAGATTTGTAAACTATGATTGAATAAAGATTTGTGCACTATATATTTATATGTTTGAATACAAATTTCTGCACTAAAAGTATGACTATGCATATTATCATATCATTTAACTTGTTAATAAAGAATCACTTAATGTGTATGAGTATGACTATGCATATTATCATATCATTTAACTTGTTAATAAAGAATCACTTAATGTGTATGAGTAAAGAATATACAAAGAAAAGGGTACTATGACAATTTGCTAACAAGATTGCATTTGAGAAAAATGCTATGCCACCGCATTAATACAACACTAAATAGTAGTGTAGGAACAGATTTTCTTTGTTTCTATACAATTTTGAAGATTGTCATAATGCATAGATCCCTGACCTATCTAATTCTTATTATCAGATTAGTTAAATCTGTTGTTAAACTCAATAAAAGATCAGAGTAGGAATATATCAATGCACTTGAGTCTAGTGAATTTGGTGGTGAAGGTCATATTTCACACAGCCTAAATTTCATGACTACATCAAAGGACAACATAGTAAGACACTTTGTCAAAATCTAGGTCAGCTGAAATCAAAGTTCACTTAACATCTTAATCTGTACACATGGTTCAAATTTCATAGCTGTACATCAAAGGACAAGAAAGTAGGTCACATCATCAAAATCTAGTTCACCTGATATCAAAGTTCAATTTTACAACTAAAACTGTGCACATGGTCAAAATTTCATTGCTGTACATTAAAGGACAAGAAAGTAGGTCACTGTCCCCTTGGGCAAGGCAAAATTTTGGACCCAAGGGTTTAATTCAAAACAATCTTGATACAGGTCCACCAAACAACATTTCAAGTCAAATATCTAAGCTGTAGCTTTCTCCTATTCAGAAAAGATTTGTTTTATTTTCTGTTTTTACTATGTGAACATAATGAGAATCACTGCCCCTGGGCAGGGCCAATTTTAACACTAGGGGCATAATTAAAACAACTTTAGTAGAGAACCCATAGAATATATTATAGAGCAAACATCAAAGCTCTATGCCTTGTACCTTCAGACAAAAATATTTCTTTTTTTTTTTACTATATGTATATAGTGAAAATCAATGACTCCTAAGGTGGGGCCAATTTTGACCCCAGGGCTATAATGTGTACAATCTTGCTAGAGGTTCACTACATAATGTTTCATGCAAAATAACTTAACTCTAGCCTTTGTAAATTTAGAGAAGATGATTTTAAGTTTTTACTATATACATATAAGGGAAACCTATGGCCCACGGGGCGGGTCTTAATTTTGACAACAAGAGGCAAAATTTTGAACAACTTTGGTAGAGTACCTATAGATGATATCATTTAACAAATATTTAAGCTCTAAGCCTTGTACCTTCAGACAATAAGATTTTTTTATTTTTTACTATATGTATATTATTGAAAATCAATGACCCCGGGGCAGGGGCAATTTTGACCCCAGGGCTATAATTTGAACAATCTTGCTAGAAGTTCACTTCACAATGTTTCATGCAAAATATCTAACCTCTAGCATTTGCTAGAAGAAATTATTTTACTATAAAGTTTTTACTATATACATATAAGGAAAACCAATGACCCTGGGGCAGGGCCGATTTTGACCCCAGGGCTATAATTTGAACAATCTGAGTAGAGGTCTACCAGACAATGCCTTATGCAAAAATATCTAAGCTCACAGCCTTTTGGGTCTTTACAAGAAGGTATTTTAAGTTTTTTTACTTTATGTACATATAGTGAAAATCAATGACCCCCGGGGCGGGGCCGATTTTGACCCCAGGGCTATAATTTGAACAATCTTGGTAAGGGTCTATCAGACAATGCCTTATGCAAAAATATCTAAGCTCTAGGCCTTTTGGGTCTTTACAAGAAGGTATTTTAAAGTTTTTACTATATGTACATATAGTGAAAATCACTGACCCCCGGGGCGGGGCCGATTTTGACCCCCCAGGGTTATAATTTGAACACAATCTCGGTAGAGGTCTACGCAGACAATGCCTTATGCAAAATATCTAAGCTCTAGCCTTTTGGGTCTTTACAAGAAAAAGATTTTTTAAATTTTTTTCTTAATATTTTCCTTTTTGGTTGCCATGGCAACCAGATTTCTGCATTTGGAATGAAATTTTCTTTTGAACAACTTTGGAAGCCCTTCATCCCAAGGATCAATCCTGCCAAGTTTGGTTGAAAATTGGACAAGTGGTTTTTTTCACAAGAAGATTTTTTTAAGTTCACTATATAATCTATATAAACACACACACCACACACACACACACAAACAAACACACACACAGGTGAATCGCTTATATGCCACCGCATCGCAGATGCCACCGCATCGCAGATGCTGCGGTGGCATAATAAAATAAATAGTCACATAATGCCCTTGAATTTAGAAACTGGCACTACAACCTTATGTGCACGAAGTATCTCTTTCTTGGAATTATTACAGAAATTTTACACTATGATTATATGCATATGAATTAAATTATCAATAAATTTGTATGAAGGCAGAAATTGGAAACATAACTATATAATAGTATACATGTAAATGAATTAAATCAGAAATTTACTACACATGTTACTTAATGTGTATGGATAAAGCAATTTAAAGTAAGACTATATGCGCACTTTGACAATATGGGTTATGAAAAAAGAAATTTACAAATTACAATGTGACTATATGTGTATGAATACAGAAAGTAGTCCCTACCTTCCCTGTCTGGAGTAAGCTGACATATCCCCTAGGCCTGAATCATCACTCTGTAATTAATAAAAATATTAAAAGAACAATATTTAAAACACTGATGTTTGACCACAAGCCTAGGGGATACCTAAACATTCTTTACTAGTAAATTTGAAAAATTTCATCAGCTAAAATAGAAGTACCAAAATAGCAAAATGACCTTATTTTTAATCAAGAATATTGGCAACAGCTATAACAGCTTCCTGAAAATGATTTGACAATTACTAAAATCATGGTCTTAGTTTGAAGAGTAGTATGAAAATCTATTTTTGACATCAAAAACTTTGACCTTGACCTAATCAATGTAAAACCTCATTCAAAGTAATAGGTGTTTTGAAGGTTACATAAATGTATCTATGCGAAAGAAATATAGCATGAGAAACAGTAACTATACATGATGCAATTGACAGGTGGATCACTATATGCGCAACTGAAAAATTTCCGGAATTAGCTAAAAAAGTACTATAAAATACAATACAAGGAATAAAAGCCCTTTGAAAATCCCAATGCCTGTTACATTAGTAGCTAAAACTAACTTTGTCATAAATGCAACTAAAATGCTAAATCTAGAAACATATAATACACCACCAAAAAAATGAAACAAAGTAACAAAACTGACAAATTTCCCGACAAAATAACTACTATCATGATACTGTTGAAAAAAAGTTCTATTTCATCAAAGAAGTATGTGCTCTTAAAGAACAAAAACCTTATGTTAAATGACTTAGATTAAAACATAATGACTAAATGACTAAAATCAAAAGATGAAAGGTTATCTGAAAATTCAAATTGCCAAGGACTTCTGACAAGAACAATTAGAAATGAAAATTTAAATGTTTTGAATAAAAGGAGGGAAAAATGCATGAAAAAGGACATTGTACAAATTGGTTCACTAATTCCTTTACGAGTACTCTGTTATCAGCTTAAAATGTAAAATCAAACAACTCAAAATAAAAGAACAGTAGCACAGGTCACATAAGAATTCCAGTGGTATTTTCCATCCTTTTGGAATGGATTCATACCATCTAGGCAAGTTTACAAAGTCTAAAGAGCTACATAAAATAAAATACAGTAAAATTCCATTAATAAGACAATATAAAGTGGTGGTCTTAAAAAGTGGACCATTTTTCTTTTGTATTTCCATCTTTCATCTCTAAGAATTGCTAAAATTTGTGTTCATTTTAAGAAACATCTTACAGGCAATCTACACTACTAAAAAATTAGAGCCTAGGAACTTTACTGTATTTAGCACAAAGAAGCACTATCTAGAATATGTGAAATAGCAGCAGTTAGGATATATACATCTACAAAGCACAGTGTCTATCTTAAGTCTAGATATTTCCTCACCACTTGTGACAGTAAACGTGTCTGTCTTTGCATGGATTTGGGAGGGGTAGTGTCAATCTGTGTGACCTCCAAATCTGACAGGGCTTCTTTTATTAGCATGTTTGCCTTAATCTCAGCTGGATTAACTATCTTTGACACTTCATCTTCTCTCTTAAACAGTGTCTCTTTCTTCTTTGTAACATCTTCATTCTGTTTCAGTGGTGCAGTTTCAACTTTGGCTTGGAGTTCTAAACAAAACAAGTCAAATTAATGCTAAAAATTTGTAAAAAAAAATTGATGTTTTAGGAAATATTGTAATAAAAAATATTCATATGCAAGCAACAAAAAATGTCTAACATTCACCAGCAGAAAAGCTGAAGACCAGCGTAATGTCTGCAGTGGCATGGATCAAATTAAATTGAACCCTGAGTGGAACATTTAGCAACAGACCAATCTATGAGCAGGCTTGCCTTGCTCTAAAATGGTTGTATGGCTCAGCTAATCACTACTGCCCCTAAAAAAACTCATATCTAACATTACTTCAGAGGTATCTCAAAATGCTATTTATCTCATACATTAAATTTTCCTTTTATATAGAAATGACAAAGTGTAAAATATTACTTTAAATGGGCAAAAGAAAACTTAACTTTTTTAAGCAAAATACTTTTTACATTTTCCTTAAAATTTTCTTTAAAGGTATATTTTCATAAAATTTAACAACAATAAATTTATATTGTTTCCTCATATATGTAATCTTATGGTTGTTTCTCCACAGAGCGGTAACATAGAATGTTTCTATTATTAAAGTTTAAACACACATGAAAACTGTGGGTAAACAGAATAAAATGTTCCAGAACAAAATATTATGGTGCTATTATTATTATAAGTTCTAACCATTTAGCAATAATGTGTTGTCATGTGCCATTTGCTCAAAAGGAAATAATATACCATTATATTTCTTTAATACAGGCATATTTGAATTATTCTTTTTCAAAATTTAAACAAACATTTTGTAAACTGCAGCCGGCAGGTAGCAGAAATATAGCTTTATACACTTTGATTAATTCAGTTTGATAACTCATGCAAGAATCTGCAAGGCCTCTTGTAATGAAGTAACAAGACCTTGCTTAACCCAACATGTCAATTAGAAATAAAACAGTTTACTGTTAGTATGCAAATGTCAGAAAAGAGGACCTTACCGGAATTGTTGATTTTTGACGATTTCAAAGGAGCGGGCTTCTCTAACTTTAGACCTCTACATGCTCTCTTCTTAAATGTCAGGTTTTCTTTGTCCTGTTTTTCATGTGAAGAAGCATCTGTGATCACATTGCTAGGTCCCTCTGTCATGGTCATACAAGGGACATTATCCAAACAATTCTTCCTAGGAGCTGGCTTTGCTAGAGTTAACGCCCGTCTTGTCTTCCTAACTGGAGGATTTTCCATTTTTCTGAAAAGATAAAAAGGTTGCCAATCAAACAGTTTGAAAATCAATCAGAAACACTTCTTTTGAAAGGTGACAGTCAAAACACTTCGGGACTTGGGAATAAGTATTTGTAAAAACTTTAAATTGAAAAATGTTTAAGTAAAAGAAACGACATGTACCCTTTATCAGGCTGGTGAAAATGCCTAATCAGGCTTATTACAAAAAAAATCATATTTCTAGAAAAGTAATAAATATATTTCTTTTTAACTTTGTTTTGTTTATTGAGAAAAATATTTGACATAAACAGAAAGAAAAATATTTGGCTACTAGCAGTCACTTTTGTGAGAATTATTTCCCCTTTTTCATGTTTTTATAACACATAATTTTTGAAGTCCTATAAAAAATATGTTGCATATGCAAAGAGTAAAACAAAATAGGTTAAATAACTTCTTTATGCTCTTATTCACTGAGCCAACACCTGTCAGCATACATTTCTTTCAGTTTTCAATGAAAACTTCAAAGTACAATGTTCAGTGTCAAAGAATTTTCAAAATATAAATGCCAGAAACAGAATATTTAATCCAAATAAATAGAATAAAGGTACTGGCGCAATAATCTAGAGCAAATTGAAGTTGTTGGACACATTTCTATTAAAAATTTTACATTACAAAATAAATTTTATGAACTGCAAATATTTTGTTTCCAGAAAATGGGAAAAGGGAAATAATTCTAAGAAAATAAAAGATGACCAAAATATTTTAATTTTATTTGTATCATATATAAATGCTTAATAAACAAAACAAGTGAGAAGGAAACATATTAACAATTTTTCTAGAAATATAATATTTTATGTCTTAAGCCGGATTGGGCATTTTCAGCCTGTTTATTTTTTTCTTAAATAAGTAATTTCAAGGGATTCCATTATGAATGAAAATAATTTTTTCAAAGTATTTCACCAACAATATTGATGCAAACTAACAAAAATTGGGAATTTTATGCTTCTCAACAGCTGAAAAAATTAAAACTACCAAGGTCCCTGGAAATTAATCCATTTTATCAGTTTATTAAAACAGAGATGTAGATACTGTAACATCATTATTCCATGTCCACATTTCTCTATCATTATTCTATGTCCACATTTCTCTTGATTTCGGACCCCTTGATTTTAAACTATCACATGTAACATGTACTGTTCATGGAGTCCCATATTTGCAGAATCCATTTTAACAACATTTATATCTGAAATTATATGCATAATGTCCGATATTTCTGGCTGATTATCTCCCTTCATGTACAGTCCAGACGGAGGGCTGGAACGCGAGGTAAATCGTCATCATATTTATTTGCGAAAAAGATGCTATGTCAGCAATTGCATAATATAAAATTAATTATAAAGTATATCTTTATCGATAATATATGTTTCAACATACCTGCAAAGAGTATATTTCAGTTTTAGAATTTTACTTCGAGCAGTGCAACTTTTTGGACATTTAACTGCGCATCGTAAGAAAAGAATGCTGTGATAATTATTTAGCGCGCGCTGCATCACACTCTGCACATGCGCGTGTCCTTTAATTAAGGGGCAATTGTGGCAAAGCCCGTGCTTCTTTCTCTATAGGGTGCTCTAAAGGAGTCCGTCTTATGGGCTTGCCGATAAGCAAATACACAAACTTTTGTTGTTGTTTTTTTTAAATGTTTTCAATCTAGAGTGAATTTTGTAAGATCAACTTTGAATATGATAAGACAGGCATTCGCCAGTGCTATTAGAACTGAACGGAAGATAACTGTGTATCTTTCTGTCCCAGCTCAGACCAGGGTCTTTAGACCCTGCTCAGACTTACAAATGAACATAAGAATCTATATTAAAACTAATTCATATAATTAATTACCTCTTTTTCAATGATCTGTATGATTATGCGCATGGAAAGGCCCATGATTGGAAATAATTATTTTTTCTAATTTATGATAGGCCTAAAGTATTGAAATATTTCACATGGTATACGGATGAGATTCTAGCTTTCTGTATATTTATATATTTACACATTGTAGTTATGAAATTAACAAAAGTAATTATGTATACGCATTGTTCATGAAATTAACGAACATATAGTTAATATACAACAAAGGCGATTCATTTTTTTTGCCGTATTCAATAAGAAATCACAGAAATACAGACTCGTGTAAAATATATAGAAATATAAAATATCTGCAAAAATGTGCAGGCTTACCTTTTGTTGTTTTTTCTTCTTCTCTTTATCTCTAGCTTTTTTATCAACAATAATTAAAGACTTTATAAGACCCAGGTAAGATAAAAATGCACAATTCGCTAGATCATGTAAAAACTTAATACACAAAATATACAATATCCAAAAAACAAGTTTGTATAGCTAAACAGGGAACGTTCCTGAGCTTACTAGCAATTGAGTAAGAATCAAGTTTTAAGTCAACTGACTATATAGGTATACATTTGCATCTCGGCGTTAATGACAGCATCGTTATCTACTAATCCCTGTCAAAAAATGTCAGTCGAGAATAAGCAACTTTTAATCCGTTTCACTTGATATATACAGATAATATTTGCTCTTGATAAGCATTTACACTTTAATTTTGAGTAAGCACTTCCTTTCGCCTATCACATTATCCATGAGTGGGATATAAGTCACTCTGAGATGCCTTAATACACATCGAAATTAATTAAATTATATATTTCATTTTGTGTGATCCAGATTTAGAGCTAAATTCAACTAATGTGTGTGATTAAAAGTAATAAAGATAATAAAATATCAGGATCAAATCCCAGCGATTTGTTAGTGAAACATTGAAATCCCACCATGCCATAAGCCCATAACCAAAAGCCTCAATACTCCCATGCACATCTTCCGCCCACATACAGACATAAAAAACATGGGACTACTAATTTTTTCCTTTCGCTTTTTGCGCAATTTGATCAGTCTTATAAGAAAAAGAAACAACTTAAACTTTTATTTGACAGGAATTACCCAAGAATAAACTAACTGAAATCAGAGTATATAATCCTTCCTCGAAGCTGTTTATTGTGCAGATAAGAGAGACTAATTTGGTTAATAACATAGAAAAACATACCTTATATTGAAAATAAAAAAGTGGCACCATGAGCTCAAATCTTAATACTCTCATTTTGAAATTTGTTTGAACTAGTCAACGCAATTTGCCCTCAGATTGAAACTAAATTTTCATTCAGATTCAAAATTACTATTCACAAATTAAAAATGATGTTGGTCAGAGCTGTTGCCCAGGCAACTGCATGGATAAGCTTCCCGTTGGTTAGAGGACAGAATATACGAGTACAATATTTAATAAATTTTTTTGCCAAGTTTCAATGGCTTTCTTTGATTTCCTTTATGGCTGCATTCCTCGAGATGAGCCAAACTATTTCAAGAAAATAAAACTTGAGAAAAATGTGCTAATATTTTAAGAAAAGTAAAAAAAGGTAAAAAAGATTCAAGAAATTATTTACATGTTACGTGCATTTAATGACTGATTTTGCTGTATTCAAAATAGCCCTAACTGCTGTACTAGTAAGGGCTATTTTTGCATATTTTGACATCTTTTTGGTAATTTACGTGAATTGAAACATATAAATTACTATCTTTGTTCACTTCACAATATTTTACATTTTAATACATTTTCAAAGTGTTCATGAACATTAGCATCAATCTGGAGGCATACTGCTTTAATATACTAATAACACATTTTGATTATATTTATTTCTATCTTCAATCTGTAATTACATAATGTGTATTTGTCACGCTATATTGACCGAAGATAAGAACGGCATGTTGTAAATCCCAAACACATGTGGAACAGATTAATTAACTCGGCAATATAAGTTATGAAACCAAACAGAAATTAGTGATGGTTACTAATAAAACGTGAAGATTGTTCGTTACAAACGTACAGACTAAAGAAGTTTCTGTATGGAGAGGACCATGATAAATCGGCTTTGACCGAAAAAAAAAATACACTGTACATATTAGGCAAGATAAAAACAACAATTATTTATACTTTATTATTGTCTCATTCACAACAATGTTCTGTCCAAATAATATACAAGATCGGCAAAAAATCGGTCGCCAGCGTCTGAGATTTATACTGCGCAAGCTCCGCACTTAAAGTTGTTATAGGTTACCGTCATGTCCCTTAGGCGTTCGGCACATTTGGTCAAATTATCATAAAATAATCTCCGCTTGATCATCAAGAACAAAATTACTATCATTATTATATAATTATAATTTTTTTGTTGTTTTGGTTTTATTTATACTGGGCGCCGGTTTCCCATATGTCCCAGACTAGTCGGCCTCTATTACGATTGCTGGCAACGTAGAGCCTGCAACGGAGGACTTATTCGCCTGCAACGTCGTCGATGTCGTAGAGCCGCGACGGAGGTCTTTTCATGCTGTCGATCGTCGTAGACCCTCTCTAGGACCCAATTCCTCGCTTCTTGAACAAAGGTTGACAATAGAGGAAAGGCACCTCTTCCGGGAGCAGCAGCTCTCTTTAGGGCCACACCCTTCGTCGTTGGTTAGGTCACACCAGCTAAGTGACCTAACTAGGTCACCCATCTGGTGTGACCTATGCCTTCAGAGCGACGTGCACGCCACGAAGGGAAGTCGGAAGTAATTATACTTTAAAAATATACACATATTATATACATTTAGTAAACGGGTGCTGATCTTGGTGATCAAGGGGGGATTATTTTATTTCAATGCCTTAATGCTTTAATGGCAAGAAAAAGGTGCCGAACGCCTATGCCATCTCCGCCATCGGGGTTCTTTAAACATTTAAAGGAACTTGAAACCATCTTCGTGCATGTCTCCAAATACAACTTTCGAACATGGTCGTTAATTATAGTGCTATCTAAATATTTGCTAGGACTCTAAAATGTAAAATCGACGTACGTCTCATTCAATTTTAAAGTCAGCGCAATTTGGGTCATCTGGACTTTCTTACTAAATTAGTCGAATATTTCATTATCTCTTTTTCTTTTTGATAATGCCCCAGTGTAGTTTAACCTCATACTTAACTCAGTTACATACTTCGATACTTTATGAACGTTGACATGCATGATCACACTAAATCACATTTAAAATCATTTAATCATGCTAGCAAAAGATGAATACATGTACTAGTGCATAAATTGCCGTGGCCTGTCATGTTGTCTTGAACGCAAATGCACGTTACATTCATGATTGCAGAAAGTTGAAGGTCAGTAAGTCAATTCCCATCAATCCTTTATCAACAATATAATCAGCGCATTAACTGTCCTGAATTAAGATGTGTCATAAATATAGCAAACGGAGATAAACAAAATATCGGACTAAACATTTCATTAACAAAATACATCAAATAAATTATGTTGCCAACAATGAGAATGTTTTCCCTGTTTTTGATGTTACCAACATTGTCGACAGGATTGTTTTTACAGCCAACAAAGTGTGACGTTGACGTCGGACCGCAAGGAAGCAGGTCGAAATCTTTCACATTCTGAAATTTTTTTTGGTTTAAATGTCTCACAGAAACTGTAAAGGTCATAGGGCGACTTTCCAGCTTCCCTGTTGAAGAAAACTTTATGTAGGTATCCTTCTTCAGTCTAAAGCGGGGACACGTGAGTATAATCAACGACCTTCTGAAAAGAATTGGATGGAACATTAATTAAAGAATATAAAGTTCCTAACAGGATTCGAACCAACAGCAGCAAGGGGGAAGTGTTTCCAAGTCAGCAACCTAAATCTTTCAGTCACTGCGGTCCATACGTTCTGAGATAAAATGGAACAACCGAAACGGTTATTCTTATTGTTGATCATTTCAACTGCTTTAAAATAATTGCTGCTGCGTCTGTTGATGAAACTAAATCGTTGTATGACGGCAGAACGTCGCTTACGTGAAGAGAAATGTTTGGCATGTACAAAAGTACAGTTTTTGTTTTAACTATTAAATATTTCAGAGAGCCTGCAGTGCGAGATTTTGACGTCCCACAGGAATGTTCTAACGGCACGTTTCGTTGGGCGTACCCCCAAAAGACGGTTCACCTGAGGTTTTTGAACCAATACAAACGACAGATTTCTGTTTGTATTCGCAATGACATGCTTGGGGAAATCTTCACTATTAGAGATATAACACACAGTATAGGAATGCCTATGATCATTGGAGGTATAGAACTTGTTATAAATTTATTCTAGATAACAATGTGAAAAACACCCTTATAAATGTATTGCAGAAACATAATTAAGAACATAAGGACCAGCTTACAAACGTAATATACTCATAATGTAACTTTTTGATATTAAAATCAAGTTTGTCTGGCTAATTCTTCTGTCCTACCTTCTAATTTTTTACAAGCTTGGTCAATGTTTTCGAGGTCATTTCCACTTCTTTTCTAAGTATATCAAAGGAGCGTCCGTGGCCGAGCGGTTAAGGTTGTTGACTTCAAACGTCTTCCGATTATTTCATGTGGGAAAGCTATCCAGCTAGCTTGCGAAACGGCGGTGCTCAGTTTCTACTCAGGCGTCTGAAATAACACACAAAGGAGCACCGGAGGTCTTCCTCCGCCAGTAAAGCTGGAAAGTCGCCATACGACCTATACTGTTTTGGTGCGATGTAAAACCCAATCTAAACAAGAATTTGTAACAGAGTTACCAACGTCCCCCGCCCCGGGAGTTTTATATGAAGCATAAAATTGTGCTATTTCAAAAGATTGAGGTATGGACCTCAGGACATTCAGTCCAAAATTATGATCAATGCTAGATCTGCAAATGTAACAATAAATTTGTTAAAAAAATAAAATGAAACACGGAATTTAAAAATCTATCATGTTAAGCTTTGACCTCTAAGTGTGAACTTGACCTTGGAGGTAGGGGAGCAGGTGTTGTGCATGACATAACGTCTTATTATTGTGACTTTTTGTGCCAAGTTATTTCAAAATCCCTTGAACTATGAAGAAGTTCTAGATTAAACACAACATATACCCTATAACAGACTATGTTAATTTTTGACCTCTAAGTGTGACCTTGACCTTGGAGGTAGGGATGCAGGTGTTGCGCATGACACATCCTCTTATTATAGTGACTATTTGTGCGAAGTATTTTCACAATCCTTTGATCTATGAAAAATTATAGACCTGACACAAAATATACCCTGTAACAGACTATGTAAGTTTTTGACCTCCAAGTGTGACCTTGACCTTGGAGGTAGGTGACCGGTTTTTGCGCATGACACATCATCTGATTATTGTTAACAATTATGGCAAGTATTTACAAAAGTCCTTCATAGATAAGAAAGTTATGGACTGGACACGACATATACCCTCAAATAGACAATGTTGACCTTGAATGAACAAATACGACCTTGACCCTGAAGGTACGGGTCTGGTTGTTGCGCATGACACATCGTCATTTGTGCCAAGTTATCTCAAATTCCTTTGATAAATGACAAAGTTATGGACCGGACACGAAATATACCCTGTAACAGACTATGTTAATATTTGACCTCCAAGTGTGACCTTGACGTTGAAGGTAGGCAACTGGTTTTTGCGCATGACACATCGTCTGATTATTATGAACAATTATGGCAAGTATTTACAAAAACCCTTCATAGATAAGAAAGTTATGGACCGGACACGAAATATACCCTGTAACAGAATATGTTAATATTTGACCTCCAAGTGTGACCTTGACCTTGAAGGTAGGTGACTGCTTTTTCCGCATGACACATCGTCTGATAATTGTGAACAATTATGGCAAGTATTTACAAAAACCCTTCATAGATAAGAAAGTTATGGACCGGACACGAAATATACCCTGTAACAGACTATGTTAATATTTGACCTCCAAGTGTGACCTTGACCTTGAAGGTAGGTGACTGGTTTTTGCGCATGACACATCGTCTGATTATTGTGAACAATTATGGCAAGTATTTACAAAATCCCTTCATAGATAAGAAAGTTATGGACCGGACACGACATATACCCTCAAATAGGCAATTTTGACCTTGAATGAGCAAGTGTGACCTTGACCCTGGAGGTAGGGGTCTGGTTGTTGCGCATGACACATCGTCTTATTATAATAAACATTTGTGCCAAGTTATTTCAAATTCCTTTCATAAATGACAAAGTTATGGACCGGACACGAAAGTGTGACGGACGGACAGACGGACGGACGGAGCCTATTTCTATATCCCCCTTTTTTCTTCGAAAAGGCGGGGGACAATAAAGTACATCATCATTGGTCCAGCAATGTTTATAGACCACAACTCCTACTTAGATCAAAGGGATATTGATGACTTAATTAAACCAGCAGCCTTAAACATTAGTCTTATGTCTCAATTGTTTATCTAGCTTACCGAATTACAGAATACGGTAAATGTTTTCGTCGTCCATCAAACTATCACTTACTACGCCATATTCAGACCTTTTATGACCTGGACTTTTTGTACATGTACAAGTATTTATTATGCAATCAAGTCTTGATAAGGCATCTTCTCGAAAAAAAAAATATGCGTTAAATGCACTTCATACATCTCAATGTTAAAAACTGACTTTTCCATTTCAGATAAGGAGAGTTGTACAATGAAGTATCGGGAGGACATCACATTGAGAATTGATGCTCCAGAAATCCTATACTATGTCGGCTCTATCCTGTATCAAGTATATGAAGAATGATATAAATATATGAACGATGAATGCGTAAATACTTTCAATTTTGTTTTTTCTTGCATTACAAATTGAATTTGAATGCATCAGCTGCCAGATAAAGCCATCAACGACTGAATGTATACATGTAAATCCAAGGCTTTCTTAAGCCTACCAAGCATGGACCTTCCCGGTTTTTTGTAGCGGAACATTTAGCCACACCTTTTCCATTCATTGCTAGGTCAACAGATCAGAACATTTTATTCAAGCATAATTCTCAAATGCATACAATTATTAATATCAAAGATGGCATCAGGTTTGTCTTGGACCACTTCTGTATCACCTTGTCTTCCAACTTTGACTCCACAGGTAATCAAGCATGATAATGTGGCTAACTAGGACATAAATTCAAAACAATTTTCTTTTAATTTATTTCATCTTTTATTGAACTTTCGAACATGATTTAGGAGAATGAAAAACAAAAGAGAAATGTCCTCATGTTAGCAACAATGTATAAATTTCTTTACAAATTGAAATATCACCGCTGTTAACCATCAATAAATGCATATATATTATATCATAATATCTATATCCAGCCTGCTGTATTGCACTTCCTATTCATTATAAATAAATAACACACACTCTTTAAATAACATAATTACAAGAAATCTTTTTTACAGTCCAGCCGGTCAATAAAGCTCAACAGAAAAGTAGAATTTCAGTCGATTCTACCAAATCCAGGTCTATAAATTTGAGTTCTATAATATAAATGAAAGTTTTCTGCAAAATGGCGAATAATGAGTGCATTGTCCTGAAAGGTTATATCTGTTATTCAGCATACCAAATTATCTTACAGACTTGCTCTTAAATCTTTTGTTATAAGGATCTCAATTATCAAAATGAGCAATCTGGTCAGACTTTACTTTTAGGCATGCTGGGATTGCTTTATACTGGTGTATATAGATAAATCGATAAATAATCTTTTCTAGCACTTTAAACATGAAGTTGAGTTAAACAATTAAAATCAATATATATAGACAAGTCTCAGATATCTTATTGGTTTTGTTAGATTGAGCAGTGTTTATTGATATGCATGTCTGACTAGAGAACTATAACATTACAGGTATAAAATACAACTATACATCAAAATACTTTGGTATTAAACACAATAAAAACCATCACCAATTGTACATTTCAATCAATCATAAAGTGATTCATATTTTTCTATTGGTTGTTAACAAAGACAATCTACAAATAAAATACTGTTTTTTAAAGTTTTGCAGAGTTTACTGTGATACGAACTGAATCGCAATCCTCATATATTCATTGCAGTAGTACTTAAAGTAGATCAATGCATCAGTAAACCATCTTCTCTACAAATAATTCAATACAAGTACCCTTAGCAAGTAGATGAAACCATTTCTTGAATCAACATTTATGATAAACCTGCATAGGGAGCCATATAATCACACTTTTATGACATGAATAAAGCTTGATGGAATGTAAATTTGAGGTCGTTTGACACTTGCATACCACGCAGTATGTAATTAAGCACCAAAGTAACAAAAAAATAATTATGCAGAACATATATAAATAACTCCTGCTAAAGACACAATTATTTGGCCAGTCATGGATAACATTGAAAAAAACCTTAGAACCAAAAATTAACATACATAAAGTGGACCCATTCATAAATTGCATAAACTGACAAAACGCTGTTCTTTTCTTTACCTATTTACTACCTTGTATAAAATTTCATATAAAATAAAAATCTACGGAATTTGATTCCATTTCTTTCACAAGACAACCCTTTTTCAAAAATAATTAATACATGATTTTAAACAAACCACGCCCTGCACTTATTCACAATTGTACAATTGTAAAATATATTTACATACTAAAATATATTACTGAAAATCAATTTCACATATTTCAACTAAAAACTGTTTTGCTAACCTTTCCTTCTTAATATATCCACAATTATTTATTTCTTTTCTCTTCCAGACATTTTTTCCAGAGTTTCAGAATTTTTTTTTGTTACCTATGCAAAAGATTTCACAAACTTGTTTCAAATTGGGTTTAAGTCACACAGTCACCAAAACAAGGTTAAGATCATATGGACACTTTACAGCTTTAATGGTGGTGGAAGACAACCAATATGCTGTTAAAGCTGGGTAGCTTTATCACAATAAAGAATCCAAATCCCTGGCAGGATTTGAAATTACCAAAGTGAAGGCAAATGACTGTCAAAGTCAATGATTCTTAAACTTTGATCTAAAGAAACTTGTGAAAGAATCGTGATAGAGCATCCCAGACAGGATATGATATATTGAAAGCCATTGATTCTCAGTAATATGTTTCCCTAAATTAAAATATCACATAAACCATTAGTTCTCTAGTCAGACATTTCAGAATTACATGTTTTCTTGTGAAAAGTTCTATCAAGTACTGTTTATCGGTGTAACTAGCATATATTCTAGACACTGGAAAACTCGTCACTTTCTCCTGAATCGTCTCCAGACAGAAGATTATTCTTCGCCGGACCCACGCTTGCTTTTTCGTTTCCTTGGTGAGCCACCCCTCGGTGAACCCTTTGGGGACTTGCCTGAAAACAGAAAGAACAAATTCATACATATTAACTATTTTATATAGCAAATTTTTTAATTTCCTTTACTTACTTCATACTTTTTAGTACATCTACTTGTATAAATATAACCTTAAGTTTATCAAATGAATCTTAAAATAGTAAATTATGGTTAGACAGGATGCTTAATAAAGTTTTCCTTTCCTTGAAGTTCCTGCAAATTTCATAGCTTAAGAATATAAACCTTGTACATACATACAGTGACAACCTTTTAAAAATCTACTACCTCAGTAAGCCTTTCTTTTACACTAGGGAATAAAACAACGTGGCTCAGTAAAGTTTAAGTTCAGCAATCCCTTTCTCAGGGGGATTTCATACTTTTGGTAAGACATAATCATTGCCAAGTTGTTTTGTCACTCAACACCAAACCAAGGGGTAAAACAATTGTCAAATATTTATTTTCAGCAATATAACTGTTTCAACATTCTTATTTTAAAGACTTTGTAAAAACATCAGTAAGCTGGCTCATTGAAAGTTTGTATTCAGTATCCCTTTCTCAGGGGGATATCAGATTTGGTAAACAGATGATAATCATTGCCAAACTTCATGTGTGTTTTTATTTCTTTTGTTTAAGCAAACCTTAGTTATCCTTATGTTCAAGCCATCCTTAGATTTTCACTCAATACAATATAAAATCCGTCTGGCTCAGTAATGTTTAAGTTCAGTAATCCCTTTCTCAGGAGGATTTCATACTTTTGGTAAGACATAATCATTGCCAAGTTGTATATTTCAAAGTAAAACAACATTTTCTTTGGACACTGCAAATAATTAATTTATGATTGTAATGAATTAAAGACTAATAATTGAGACAATGGATTCAACTACTCTGATACATGTACAAACCAATTGAAGGCGCAGGGGTTGCTAAAAGCCGTATAAACTTGTGTTTTCCAAATGCTTTTTTTGTCATGGCTCATTGTAAGTTTGTATTCAGTATCCCTTTCTCAGGGGGATATCAGATTTGGTAAACAGATGATAATCATTGCCAAAATGCAGATTAAAGTCACATTATCCTCATTTTTTGTTGTCCAGTTGAACTAGCAATATATTTCAAAAGATAGGCGATTTCAATGGCGATTGAACAATAATGGAAAATGAAAATTTTGCATGTTACAAATATACCAAACAGCCTGAATTATAAAAAGACTGCCCCACTCATTTTTTCTGCATATTTATAGAAAGCTTCATTGGTCATATATATTTATATAAAGTAAATATAAAACTGAACTCAGTAAATGCCAAAATATCAAGTTATTTGTATTTTTACCAGTTCACGGACCATTTACAGATAGGCATAATCACCAATATCACCAAGACAACACATTCCAATTTTACAGTTATATTTAAATTCTAACAAAATATGATATAATCAACTGACAGGGGAACTGTTGAAACATGAAAATGCTGGCTCATTGAAAGTTTGTATTCAGTATCCCTTTCTCAGGGGGATATCAGATTTGGTAAACAGATGATAATCATTGCCAAGCTTCTTGTCAAGTTAAATGCAATAAGTTTCATATATAAGGCCAACATTTTTTTATTAAATGTTTTACGGGACATTTTTAAAAAAAATTGGGTCGGGGGGGATAAATAAAAATAAAAATAAAATTCAATTTTTTTATCAGTCGACCACAAAATAAAAATAAAATGATAAAAGAGGTTAAAAAATTTTATTTTCAGACATTTTTTTTAAGACTCCAAAAACAGATTTTTTGTTCATAAAATCAATGATTTTATAGTTTAGAAGTATTTTTGGCATAATTTTAAACAGAATAATTGAAAAAAATGCTTTAAGTCACTTTTGCTTTTGTTTTTAGTAGCTATTTAATGCTGATCTAGTTTCTATAAGTTTTGTCTTTTCACATTTAGAGCAAACATGCCACACAACTCCAAATTCATTGTTTAGTCCCTTCATTTAAAGAGTATCCAAACAAGGTCGTATTGCCACTCTCAAGCTTTACTGATACAAGCTTGCAACCAGGTAGAACCACCAACCTATTATAAGCATACTGATAGTTTCCTCACGGGAATCCAAATTAACTTCCTGACAGGATTCTAATCCACAACACCACACAGTCAGAGTGATTCATTCACAGAGGTACAAACATTATAATGTACAATGTCAGTTTCACAAGGTAAATTTAATCAACAACTTCAAATTATCTTTAAGAGAGTAAGTTCTGTATGTGCAAAATTTTTTGCAATTTCTGAAAATTATTCGTATTTCAAATGATTGGTAAAATGAAAGCAATTGACAGTAAATAGAAAATCAAATGGCATACATTGTTACAAAATCAGAGTTTTCTGCTAAGAATTTATTATAGGCAGTTTTTACAGAAATGTCAAAGAGGACTTATGCTCATAATCTTACATTGAAAAAAGACCAATTTTCTCAATATTGATCTAATAAAAAACTTCTTAAAATACACATTACTACCTGTCATGATATAATATTAACTTAATAAATGTTATAGATGACTGTGTTCAATCATAAAGAAGCCTCATATTTCAACAAGACAACAACAAAAATCTGTCCACCAAACAACTTTCAGGAATTTATTTTCGTATAATAAATTAATCAATTGTTTTCAAAGATTCATAATAAAAAGTTTTCACTATCAATTTGCTTACAATAAATCTACAATGTAAGTAGAACTCATTTGTTACTCGTTTTTCTCAATCTGTCTAAGTAAATTTAACTTATGTTTCTTTGTAAAACCTATACATGAGTCTAAATTTTAATGTGTGGAAGTATTCTCTGTTCTCATGGTCCGTGGTAAATCGAGTAATATTTCATTTTGACACCAAAGTCGATCAACGGCTTTGATCCCGTGCCCATTTAATTTTTACAACTGTTCTGACAGTGAAGGTAATTCAAATCAAGTTATGCAATGGACGGTAATTACCAGTCGTGTTTTCTATCAGCTTTACAGGCTATCATGTTTGATAAATGCTCTAATATTTATTACTAAAATTGCCATAGTTGTTTTCGAAAAAAGTGAACTTCCGTGACCCGGTGTCGCGTGATATTCACACGTGTAAATTTATTACAAGCTTGTAAAGTTATTGCCCTTCCCTTTTGTTACGCCTTTTGTAATATTCTTGTAAACATCAAAGGGCCTAACTTTTGTCAGTTGTTTTAAGCAAGTTCCGAGGTTCTACCGTCAAGTCTAATTAACAACTAAAGTGAAAAATGTGTTCCATACCAAGTAACTTTTAATTTTGACAGAAGTGGGTAAGAGAGGTCGGCGGGCAAAATGAAAATAAAAGTTCTTAAATTAACTTTTATTTTTATTTGATTTTCTCTAAAAATACGGTCGGCGGTCCCGTAAAACATTTTATAAAAAAATGTTGGCCTAAGGTATGATAATCTCAAAACAGGTTTAAATGTGTCATATTAACAATACAGCTCTAATCAGCTGAAAATTGTCTCAAGAAAGATTAAAATGGTCAACATCAAGACAAGTGTTCATAAAACTGATAAAATAAGACCTGGCTCAGTGAAGTTTAAGTTCAGTAATCCCTTTCTCAGGGGGATTTCATACTTTTGGTAACACATAATCATTGCCAGGGTACAGAACTTACACTTCATACAATTTTAATGGACAAAACCAAATAAAACACAAAAGATTCAAATGACATGGCTCATTGAAAGTTTGTATTCAGTATCCCTTTCTCAGGGGGATATCAGATTTGGTAAACAGATGATAATCATAGCCAAATGTCATTGCCTGCTTGGAAATTATTATAATTGATTTTAGGAATGGTGGAAAGGTTTGGCATTCTATTGAGGGATCAGGGCTCGACATTAACGGTTGTCCGACTGCCCGGGACAACTAAAAGTTTGGTCCGGGCAAGTTATTTTGAAAAGCACTTGTCCGACAGGGCAAGTGAAAATAAAAAGCATCATTGACAAAATGCATGTACAAAATGAATAGAAATAACATCTTTTCATTTATAAACATCTTTAAAACAAAAATACACCATGAATTATTATCAATAATGTGAATATACTACGGTCATGTACATTTGTTGATATAGGAAACGGAAGCAAAAATATGAGCATGCGCCGCGGTAAGGTAATTCTCTGTTCTAATAATAGACTATATCTAATTTTGTACAAGGTAATTCCCGGGTTATGCTGTTGTTTAAATTTTGATGTTTGCATGTAAAGATATCATTGAAAATATGTAGATAATCATATTGATCTTTAAACATAATTGTTAAATAAAGTTTTTGCATTAAAAATGATTTATTGTTTAATCTAATATAACAACATTATGAACTTAGTAAACGAAGACTCGTTTACAGCTGTTGACTTGATGATTGAACGGGGAATTTCCTTACCGCGGCGCATGCTCATATTTTTCCTTCCGTTTCCTATATCAACAAATGTACATGACCGTAGTATATTCACATTGAATAAACAGATGAACCGATGTTTTAGAAAAACTACTAAATACAAAAAATATTTATGAGCTTGTTTGTTTTTCTGATTTATACATTTTTACCATTTTTAGGTCAGGACAAGTAAGTCTTAGGTCACGGGCAAGTAGTTTTAAAAACTACTTGCCCGACAGGACAACCTGATTCAAAAGTTAATGTCTAGGCCTGGGGATATGCAATATATTATAACTAGCAGTTTCTAAGTGCCACAAATATTACTTATTAATCTTAGTCAGCACAATCAGTTATTAACACAAGAGCGATCAGTAATCACATGTGTCGCCTCATGATGGCCAATTTCATGTTGGGACAAAGTTTGTGACAGACGGACAGACAGACGGACAATGCACAACTAGACTTGGTAATGATCATTCCTGTAAAGTTTGGATAAAATTGCACCAGTAGTTTATGAGGAGTAGTCCGGACAAGCTTTTGCGTATCTGGCAACACACAGAAAAAACACCTTTTTATCAAAGGGCCATAACTCGGCCAAAAATCATTCAACCGGAAACCCCTGCATTATGCGTAAGGACTTGAGCTACAGATCAATCCTGTAAAGTTTCATTGAAATTGCTTTAGTGGTATAAGAGAAGTAGTCTGGACAAACTTTAAAAATAAAAATTATTAAAGGGCCATAACTCTGACAAAAATCATTGAACCGGAAAATGCTGACAATATGCACAACTAGACTTGGTACTGATCATTCCTGTAAAGTTTGGATGAAATTGCACCATTAGTTAATGAGGAGTAGTCCGGACAAGCTTTTGCATATCTGGCAACACACAGAAAAAACACCTTTTTTATCAAAGGGCCATAACTCGACCAAAAATCATTCAACCGGAAAACCCTTGCAATATGCGCAAGGACTTGAGCTACAGATCAATCCTGTAAAGTTTCATTGAAATTGCATTAGTGGTATAAGAGAAGTAGTCCGGACAAACTTTAAAATTAAAAATTATTAAAGGGCCATAACTCTGCCAAAAATCATTGAACCGGAAAATGCTGACAATATGCACAACTAGACTTGGTACTGATCATTCCTGTAAAGTTTGGATGAAATTGCACCAGTAGTTTACGAGGAGTAGTTTTGACAAGTTTTGTGACGGACAGACAGACGACGGAGAAGTGATCCCTATATGTCGCCACTACTCCGTAGAGGCGACACAAAAATCACCTTGGGAGAAAAAATTGAAAGATGAATGTTTGAATTCAAGACCTGGCTCAGTAAAGTTTAAGTTCAGTAATCCCTTTCTCAGGGGAATTTCATACTTTTGGTAAGACATAATCATTGCCAAGTTTATGTTCTTTACTCCAGACCTAGCAGACAGGTGTAATAATATGCAGATTTGTCAAATAAATTTATTCATCTTGACTGATTCAGAGTATATTAATCTCTCAATTGATACATAAACCAAGAAAGCACTATATTGAGGACATCACTGAGCTGGCTCATTGAAAGTTTGTATTCAGTATCCCTTTCTCAGGGGGATATCAGATTTGGTAAACAGATAATAATCATAGCCAAGCTTATTGGGGTGGCCTTTTTTTTGTAACCTTGGCTATTTATTCAAGACAAAATAAAAACAACGTGGCTCAGTAAAGTTTAAGTTCAGTAATCCCTTTCTCAGGGGGATTTCATACTTTTGGTAAGACATAATCATTGCCAAGTTGTTTTGTCACTCAACGCTAAACCAAGGGGTAAAACAATTGTTAAATATTTATTTTTTGGCAATTTGACTGTGTATCAACATTCTTATTTAAAACTTTTTAAAACCATCAGTAAGTTGGCTCATTGAAAGTTTGTATTCAGTATCCCTTTCTCAGGGGGATATCAGATTTGGTAAACAGATGATAATCATAGCCAAGCTTATTGGGTTTTGATTCCTTTTCAAATTATCTTATGTTTAGTTGTCCTTATTTCAAGCAATCCTTAGATTTTCGCTAAAAACAATATAAAAACTGTCTGGCTCAGTAAAGTTTAAGTTCAGTAATCCCCTTCTCAGGGGGATTTCATACTTTTGGTAAGACATAATCATTGCCATAGTTGATTCAACCAACAAAAACACTTCCACAAAATTTAGGGTCATTCATCCTCCATATTTTGACAATACGCTACCATTTTAAACTTAACTATGTATTAAGCTTAACTCATGGTGTCTTTTAACCTTCCACCATTCAAGTAAATTTTATACCCATGAAAGCCACAGAACAGACCAAATTTATGCTTTACTTAATAAAGGAAACTTACTCATTCCTTGAAGAGTTTCCTGTGGGAGCCAACTGTAGTCCACATCGGTCTTCGTGGTTCCCATCTCTACCTTTGGGGCTGATTTGCCCTTTCCCAAGCGCTTTTTCTGAAATATCAATTACATCTTTAACATGGTCTTAACCTTGTAAATGAAACAAAGTTTCAGGTCTCTAAAGATATTACATGTTAAAAATGTCAAACCCTGAAAATGCTAAATTTAGTATAATTTTTGAAAATGCCAAATTTAGTATAATTTTTATCTTTTTTTAATCTAGAGAATATTCTGTAGCTTTAGATATACTAACTTATACATAAAAACTTACTCAAAGTGTGATGCCAATGCCTAGTTTAAGTTGAGTGCAACAGCTCTTCCTGTTCTTTGAATAGTCAAGCTAATAAAAAAGCTACAATGAAACACTCAGAAACAGTAATACACAATACTTACTCCGAATGATGTAAGAAGCTGTTGGGCACCAACTAGTCCTAGCACAAGGATAGCTACAAGGAAGACATACAAGAAGAAAGTTTCACCATCCAAACCCTCATCTGGTTCTACAACATTTATGGTCTCGTTGAAAACAGCATTCTGGAACTCGTTGCCTTCCTGTAATAAATATACAATCATTTCATAAGTCCCTTCCTATTGAAACATTCATTCAATTAAAAACAATGACCCAAAACATTTTTTTTCAGAGTCGCACAAATAACATAAATGGTCCTCTATAAAAAGTTACTTGGAAAAAGTCTATACAGCACATAATATAACAAGGGTAAAATATTAAGTGTTTTTTCCCTCTTCTATAAGCAGTGGCCATTTAAGGATTGCCTCCTCTATTGAAAATTTATTAATATCATGCAGATTTCCCCTGAAATTCAATCGAGACCATAGCTTTAATCTTCCCCTTTCACAAAAATTTAAGTGTTATTTCCCCAAATCTAAAGGAAGGGCATGAAATAACCTTAACAAAAGTTGTTTAAAATAATGAATGACATGGGAGGGAAGAATTGCCATTAAGCAAAACTCTGTTCAGTTGACTGCCTAATGTTGACAACTAAAATCCCTCAACTTCACAACGAGCAGTTCCAAAGTCAACATGAAAGTCCATTTTACAAATATAGCTAATCATACATGTATTTAATATGGAAATGTACAAACGTCAAACATGTACGAGATTCCTATGCCAATTCATAGTTAATAATGACTTGGTTCAAACATCTCTGGTTTAATCTTGCAAGTTTCAAGAGGGTTCAACATATACAAACATGCAACCGCTGGCAATAACTTGCACTAAGAGCAACATAATTATTCAATATTTCAAGGCCTGTTAGGGTCTTAGCTATGGAATATTTCTATAACAAGAGCCGGTTGAACCACGTGATGCTCCCGACTAGGTTTTGGATACAGAATGATGCAATATGGAAACATAATTATCAAACATGTACGAGATTCCTATGCCAATTCATAGTTAATAATGACTTGGTTCAAACATCTCTGGTTTAATCTTGCAAGTTTCAAGAGGGTTCAACATATACAAACATGCAACCGCTGGCAATAACTTGCACTAAAAGCAACACAAATGTTCAATATTGTAAGCTTACTAAAGCCCATTGAGGGTATAAAGCTTTATGGATGTTTCTATAAAAAGGTATTTTTGTGGTTGCCATATTCTTAATGTTGATTCTTAACAAATTGTCACTTAAAATGTCCCTACTATCTGAACACACATAAATATTGCATATGAATAGAACAAAATGGTCCACAAACAAATTAGGCTGCTTTAACTATGATTACCCTCTTAAGGAAATATTCAAATATATTTCTCTCAGTCAGGTATTTTGAAATTTAACCTTTTCAAAGTTAAAACAATGATTTTGAAAACTACAGGCAGCAGATATACACTTCAAAATTCAAAGTGTCATAGTGATTTGTTAAAAGTGGGATTTGTTATTAATTAATGTACGAGACCCCTATACCAATCCATATTTAATATCAAGAATGACTTGGTTCAAACTGGTCTGCATGGTAATCTTGCAAGTTTCAAGAGGGTTCAACATGCTTACTGCATGCAACCGCTGGCAATAACTTGCATCCTAGAAACTTAAGCAATATTCATCCTGAAAGTGATCCTAAAACAACTTACAACCTTGTAGCCATAAGCAAGTTCTGAAAGGTATGTTAGCTAATCTTTACATATAAAAATTTCATTTAAAATCATTCTCAGAAAATCAATGGTCATACAAACTTGCCCATTTGTTTCAAGTAAAGTCTTGCTATCTCTATTGCCAAAGTATTGCAGATAAATTAATTATGTAGTAGAACTGTTCTCAATACTTACAGAATCCTTGTAGTTGAGCAAGATGGTGAGACCAAATGGACGCGAGTTGAATGCTTCACTGGGGGTGAATCCGTACTCAAAGGTTGCTTCTTTGTTAGGCTCCACCATCTGGTTCAATGTAAGCGCTGTGAACTGAAAAATGAAATCAAAAATAAGATAGGAAACAATATTCGGAATAAGTATGTATGAATAAGAAGTTATTTAAGGTAAGCACTTTTTTTTTTACACATGACGAAAAATGTTCTATATATCTCACTTAGAAAAAGCAGAAAAATAATTTTTTTAAAATCACAAATAATTTGTATTCCGGGCCTCCTCAAAACTTACACCCATAATGCCACTTAACAAGAGCTTTGGTAGGACAGCAACGCTCTACTATTCTTAGTGCTTGATAGTAAAAAAAATGCTTGATACAATTACCTCCTCCTATTTACAGGTTGGGGTAATGATGGTGAACAAGCGTGCTAAGTTTCAAAGCCATATGTCAATGGACTTTGAAAATATTTGAACTATTACAAAAACTTTAACGTAATTTCTAAGTCGAAAAAGGGGCATAATTCTGTCAAAATGCTTGATACAGTTACCTCCTCCTGTTTACAGGTTGGGGTAATGATGGTGAACAAGTGTGCAAAGTTTCAAAGCCATATGTCAATGGACTTTGAAAATATTTGAACTATTACAAAAACTTTAACGTAAATTCTAAGTCGAAAAAGGGGCATAATTCTGTCAAAATGCTTGATACAGTTACCTCCTCCTGTTTACAGGTTGGGGTAATGATGGTGAACAAGTGTGCAAAGTTTCAAAGCCATATGTCAATGGACTTTGAAAATATTTGAACTATTACAAAAACTTTAACGTAATTTCTAAGTCGAAAAAGGGGCATAATTCTGTCAAAATGCTTGATACAGTTACCTCCTCCTGTTTACAGGTTGGGGTAATGATGGTGAACAAGTGTGCAAAGTTTCAAAGCCATATGTCAATGGACTTTGAAAATATTTGAACTATTACAAAAACTTTATCATAAGTGGTTACGCCGATGCTCGGGTGACTACAATAGCTCTACTTATTCTTATCGAATAGTCGAGCTAAAAAGAGCATCAATGCTTTGCCTCTTATGACTGTTATTGTTTAATTGAAAGTTTACTGGGTGTACTAAACATTTCAAGCAGGTATGTCATTGCAATCTGGTAGAAAGCTTAAATTTTCAACTAACTTGCTACTCTAAATAATTTTCTTTACTATCTAGTCTGTCTGGGATGTATACCAGACTATTTTAAGTTTTAAACAAGGTGGAACTTCAACTTAACCTAATAAGCAAAATAATAAGAAACTGCATACATTTTGTATATAGAAGGAGTAATCTTGTGGATATCTGAAGGATGTTTCTAAACTTTTCACTTCAAAGTCTTTCTCTCCCTTGTTCTTGAATCCTACCATGAACCTTACAACCTGGCCAGAGGGAAGATCTAAAACAAATAAATTCATTACTAGGACATATGTTACACAAAAAGGTCATCACATAACAAACCAGGAGAAAACCAACATGGAAGACTAGAGCATTTTAAAGACATAAATAATTTTTTTCATTTTTTTTTATTAATATCCGACACAATAATCTTTATCTATACCTAAAGAAATATAAATTCTGATCTTTAAAACAGGCCCTTAATCAAGAATATCCCACGTCAGAGATAAACATGGAACATTCAAGTTTGTTTTTGATGAAATTTCATAAATTTATATAATTCTTTTTGTCTAATTAGTGCAACTTGAAAATTGTTTATTTTGATGAAACGAAATAACATCGTAAGACAGATTACCATTAGTGCCAACAGGTTTAGTAAAAAGAATGGTAACATCAGTGTCCTCAGATGGTTTTAACTGGGTATCTTCTTCCTCTTCTTCTTCTTCACCCTGAAATAAGCAACTCCTCTTTACAAAATACATTCTGACTCTACATTGTTTTTATTCAGTCTTCAACAGGCTTCCAAGACAAAATTTTTTTTATTTTTTTTTGCTAAATTCAATGATTTATTAATTTCAACAACTCTCAATTTGACAAATCCAGTCACTAACAATCATGTATGTTGAGTACTGAATAAACTTGTCTAATCTTAAGAGGCATTTATCATAAGTACTTGCACCATCATAACATGATAATACCTTGTACAAAATTTCTGGTGGATATTGAAACCATGAAAAGAATATTTAATTTAAAATCTGAAATTCCTATGAACTTTGATAATTTCCATTCTCAATACCTGTTCTGTTTCTCTTACAGCCTGATCCCCTTCCTCTGGTCCACTGTCATCTTCCACAGTGGCCTCATCATCATCTTCTGCATCAACTTCTCCTTCCATCGCATCATCAGCCCTTACAATAAAACTACCAGGCCCTATCAAATACAAAAACCAGCATGTCTTATATTAACAAGGAAATATAGCCATTTATTTAAATATGGGTAACATTTATCGCCAGGCTGATATTGGATCTGTTTAATCTATCTAAATTAGGATTTCAAAGTAATTAAAGGATTACAATAAAATATAATCATCAATTTAAAAGTATCGAATGATTAACAAATTATTTCAGGGAGAAGACACATGATATAGCAAATAACATTACATTTATATTCTTGTTATTTAAGACTAAGACGGATAAGATTGTGTTTCTGTTTAACAAAATGTTCTAAAAGTATGCCACGTCAAAGGTTTTCATCAATCGACATCTCAGTAACAAATCTACTCACCATTTTCAAAGACCATCAACGTTGTTGGTAAAACCAACAAAAGAAATAAAATAAACTTTCCAAGAAAAGTCTTCATCGTTTCTGGCACTTAAAAAACGAATAGTTTTTAAGATTTAACTCGATAAACTTAGCTACTATTTCAAGCCGGTAGATCAGCCCCCTTCCAACCGGAAATGTACAGTGTTTGAAAGCCGAAGGTCACGGGTTTTTCTTAATTCGATTTTCATTGGTTGACAGAATATAAATATCCAATCAAAAGAATCCTTATTTCTGAAACCTTTTGTTCGGTTTGATTTGTTGTATAGAAGTTATCCTACATGAGTAAAATTGAAAAACACGTAGGCTATATATCAGTTAACATAATATCTTAAGTCATTCATTTTCTGCACATTTCTCTTTTATCCTGGGTCCTGATAGACTCATTGTAAATGACATAAAATGATATATATATATATAGTTAAAGCCGTGATTGAACCAGAGACTTAAAATACAGAGCTAGGTGATTTAACGTGATTAAATTAATAAAGAATTTTATCGTCGTTACGTGGATGGATAGTATTCTTTATTCATGTTTGAATGTCTGAATCTTGTATGAATTTAATTATTTTGTTATATATGCATTCTGGTAATATTGATGTAGACTGTAACTGCAATATTTGAATCCGACAGGTCACAGATCTCGAGGTACATTAATTTTAATTAATATCTTAAATCTGGAGATCAGAAAAGTACCAAAATTGTTAAGTTCAAAAAGTAAAAAACAAAACAAAAACAAAACGACAGGAGTGTAACCGGAAAAGCAATCACGTAAACATGACATAATTCACAGTTATTTAATCAATTAAAACTTCTAATGATTGTCAATCAGTATAACTGATCCGAAGTTTGACGGAAAAGGCCATGCAAAGAATGAATGTGAAAAGACACTAGATGAACGTATCTGTTGGCCCATTGAACTATAGCTTGGACATGTGCCTGAGTTCTAGATCACATGCATATATAAGAAGATGTAGGTGACAGGACAGTCTAATTGCTTTACGATTAAAATCTTTAAAAATTCTTTGATTTTGCTTTATGACAGTAAAAGTCTCTGATTTTAACCATATTGCACTAACGTAACTAAAAATGTAGACCATTCCACCCATTAGATTTAATCTTAGAAGTCACCTTAAATGTAAAATGAATAAATCTTATCATTAAAGACAAACAAACAAACTAACCACGGTTTTATATTACACGAATGTAATATAAATCCGTGAACTAACTAACTAACTAACTAACTAACTAACTAACTAACTAACTAACTAACTAACTAACTAACTAACTAACTAACTAACTAACTAACCAACCAACCAACCAACCAACCAACCAACCAACCAACCAACCAACCAACCAACCAACCAACCAACCAACCAACCAACCAACCAACCAACCAACCAACCAACCAACCAACCAACCAACCAACCAACCAACCAACTTACCAACCAACCAACCAACCAACCAACCAACCATCCAACCAACCAACCAACCAACCAACCAACCAACCAACTAACCAACCAACCAACCATCTAACTAACTAACGAACTAACTAACGAACTAACTAACTAACTAACTAACTAACTAACTAACTAACTAACTAACTAACTAACTAACTAACTAACTAACTAACTAACTATATGGAGTTGACTTAAATCGCGGACTTTAATTAAAGTCCGTGCTTAAATATAAGTTTAAATTTATACTTGACATTTCTTGAATACATTAAAAGCGCGATATCTAAAGAACACTAACTGAATAAGTACCTTTTAAACTGTAAATTCACACAAAAGTGCATAACAAATTACATAAATATATTTGAAATTATTGCTATTAACAGAGACATAGATAACATCTCTGCACTTAACTATATGTACAGCAGTTTTGAGACATTCCTCCATCAGTTGATCCAGAACTGATAGGTACGTATATCTGACATGACGGTTCTCCTTACGTCGTGACCGTCCGGCTCGGGATCTAGCTTATTGAAGCATAATTTACACGGTGCATATTATATGTTATTGACAGTTTAAAAGTGCTTGTAAATCTTAATTTATATCGCGTAAAATCAAACCGTACGTGCATCGCACGGCGCATGTTGTTTACAACGTGGGGTACCTATCGGGGAAATTTAATGTGTATATTACCCGTCTGGCTCGGTAATATCAATTTCTTTCGGGTGATCAATATCCAATCAAAAAGGCGGAAAAAATCTGGAAGGGTAATAATATGTTATATGTTTAATTTACGAATTCCAAGTGCGCTGGAGCTGATATATTAGGCGGGAATACATATTACAGAGAATCATCGGAAGTGTAGACTTGCTATTGTGATGATATACTTGAAATATTAATGCATAATATTCTACAATAACCATTACGTTTTAAGTTTTGTTCCGTTTAAGCGATTGATCAAGTACAATTAAAATCCTTGTACCTCGAAAATCTTATGGTCTTTTATGATAATTATGTTGTTCAAATGATCGAAGAATTATCAATATCTTAAGTTATAAAACGCATTACTTAAAGATATGACCAAACTGGGACAAAAAAAATACATATTTTCAAATAGTTCATGTACATTTACATGAAATGGGAGGTAGAACTATATTTCTGATAAACTTTTGGATAATTTTTCGATAAAAATATATGTATTATAATAAAAATACTATCATTTTAAAACTTATTTATGGTGTATATAAAATTGTTGTATAAATCTAAAAAAGAATGGAAAAAAAGAACAAACAAACTTACACTTGGTCATTAACATTTTAACATTACTCTTAAGGTCAGACTTAACAATGTCTGGAAAGCCTAATGAATGCTTGCAAGCGTTTTGCCGCGCGTAAACTCACGAAAGAGCAAATCAAACAAGCACCTCCTGGGTTCCAGACCGATCAGCTGTTCAGACAGAGCAGCAATTTTGATCCCTATGCAACACAGAGAAATGATCTCCTTTTGAGCAATACGTAATTGTTACACGGTTGTCTTTTTCTAATAGAAGATTTATTCTCTTATAATGCATTTTAGCAAGAAACATTTATTTTCCAAAATTTTAACGATTTGAGACTCTTTTCGTCCTTAATATAGTTCGACCCGTTTTATTTGTATTGTAAACTCACTTTATATCTAAATGAGACACGGAATTATTGAAATGGTTGCATTTAAATAAATTATTTATAACCTTGTTCCGAATGCATGATGTTCAATAAAGAGAGTTAGATGAAATATTACCAAAGAGTAGGAGACCATGAACAATTTATCTTATATTAGATTCTATATTAGATTGTTTTGTGGTTAATCTTTTATATTAATTTATCATTCAAAGGTTAATCTTTATATTAATTTATCATTCAAAGTAAGAATGTTGATAAGAATCATTGAGTGACACTATAAGGCCACTCTTAAAAAATTATCTGTTTGCTATTGCCGGCCGACCCAGCGAAAATGCCCCGACTCAAAAGTTTTTTTCAGCTTAAAAAAATCAGATTTTTTTTTATTTCCGCCAAATCAGCCAGGGCATTCCACCCAAAAAATTCCCTCGAAAACAAAAATAAAATCGGAGGAAAACACACATTTAATATGTAAAGTAACGAGTGATCATTCATGAGGGCATTCTGTGCGTTACTATTTAAAGTATTTACATAAATAGCGACCAACCAGGGAAGGATATTTTCCTTACGTCACGCAGTACTGCATGCGCGCGGCAATTAAGTCGAATTAACTAATAATAGAACGTATCAAATTAAGGTGTGGAAACGGGATTAAAAATAATGTTTGTTCAGTTAATGAATATTTGTAAAGTATTTATATATATAGCAGACACAAGTATTGCAAAATATCTTCAAGATCATAAAAATGTAAATAAAATATCACAATCAAAATCACAGATTTACATACGTCTAATTAAACTCCATGTCAAAATGCACTTACGATTAATAATATGTCAATAATTGACACGATAAATATCCAACATTTTTTTACTTGAGCAATAATTAAACATGTGTAATCATTCCTTGACAAAAAGAAATGACAGTTTTTTTTTCTGATATATAAAAAAGAGGTGGAAGTCAATTGAGTGTCGGCATTTCTTTGATGATTCGGCAAAAACTACAGGTGTGTAAACATCAAAGATTCACAGATTCTTCAGAAGAGCCGACCAGGCATTTGTCAGAGGTCATTTCGTGTGTAAATTTTGTATTTATATTTAACAATGGAAACATTATATTCCTTTTATTTATGGATGCTACTTTTTGCGCGAGTGTTTTTGTGTCTTTTAGCGCTATGGAATTTCAACAATCTGCGATAATTTTCGGTAACTAACAATGAAATATTTTAACGATCCGCCATTCAGAAATTATAGGAGACAAATCTTACGTGTGTTATTTTTTACAGACGTGTAATAAATTGAGTAATGATCATGCATCCGTGAGAACGAAATGTCCTGGTGATCCACTATAATTTTTCCAGTTCGTACGGGAATATTTACGCAGGATTAGTTTATCACATCGGTAATTTGACTATGCTTGAATTTATGTCCACATTGTCATTTTTTTTATTTCATGTTATGATTACTAGTGAACATGTTTTTTATTGTTTTTGACTGTCTTTTACATATTAGTTTTGCCGATGATGATAGTGTAGCCCGAATTTCCACAATCTGTTACAACGTACTAAGCGTATTAACTTACGTTCAGTAAAAATTATATATCAAAAAAAAAAAAAAAAAAGCCTACCTACCGACCCACTCCTTATAACTCTGGGTCGGCAATAGCAAACATATATATTATTAAGGATGGCCTAAATAGGGATAATTTAGAATAAATAATCAATAATAGATCTATAGTTAACAGTAATGGAATCACAACAAGCTCATTGTTGTTTTAACCACTTTGAAATCAGATATGTGATTAGATTTCAACTCATGACTTTGAAAACCTAGTTGAACACTGTTTCCGTACATTCCAGACATGAGCTCTCAATGTTTCTGCCAGACTAGATTTTTTGGGGTCATTTGTGACCCTCTATATATAAAAATATGGGCGTCATTTGAAATTCTGAAAGGTCAAATTAAAAAAAAGTAAAAACTACAAAAGTAAATCTCAGAACTGTTCAATCGTGAACTTCAATTTCTCACTTTTTGCGGTTGCAAACAAAAAATCTTCTAAAAAAGAACCATAAACCTGTCAGACATCTGTTTATAATTTTATTGCAGAAACTTTGATACTTTTGTTGTGTGTTTGCCATTGTGAGAAAAGGCTCTGCATGCACAAATCACTAGTTTAACCGCCTCCGTGGTCGAGGGGTTAGAGTAGATGACTTCTAATCCAGTTACCTCTCTGGTGTGGGTTTGATCCCCGGGAGATGCTTTGGTAGTTTAGCACGGAGGAAGGTAGTCTAGTACTGGTGTATCTCTCCAGGAACGATGGTTAGGAAACTAACCGCCTATATGACTGAAATACTGTTGGAAAAAGGCGTCAAATGAAACAAACAAAAAAAACAACCAAAACAAATCACTTGTTTACCCTGACCTTACACTACTGTGACTGATTGTAGAAGTTTAAAAGTCGGACAGAAATGTGTTGATAACAACACAGAATCGGTTAACTATTTATACATACACGCAGTTACTGGAAATAAATAAATTTTGGATACTCAAACATTAATTGACGATTTAAAGGGGATGGCGCTTATAATAGGAGAAATAACTAAATGAAAAGACATCCAATTTTTGAATTAAGGTACATTATGGCTGTTTCATAGAAAATGCGCTTTGCAAATTTCAATGTGTCTAGAATGTGAAATTATTGCGTCTAAAACGCAAGAAACACAGAGAAGCAGAAACACTGAGCTCTTGGGAATTTACCTAAATTGCTTGTAATGGGGATAAATATTTTTCTTGCAATTTTTATTAGCTCACCTGAGCATATGCTCAGGGTGAGCTATTAGGATCACTCTTCGTCCGTCGTCCGGTGTCCGTCGTACGTCGTACGTCGTCCGTTGTCCGTTCACACTTTTCAAACGACATCTCCTCTGAAACCATAAGGCAGATCATAATGAAACTTCACAGGGATGTTCCTTATGTGAAGCCTTAACAAAGTTGTTCAAAGAATTCCATTCCATGCAGAACTCTGGTTGCCATGGCAACCAAAAGAAAAAACTTTAAACATCTTCTTCTAGAAAACCCAAAGAGCTAGAGCTTAGATATTTGGTATGAAACATCTTCTAGTGAGTGTCTACCAAGATTGTTCAAATAAAGCCCTGGGGTCAAAATTGGCCCCGCCCCAGGCGGGTCATTGATTTTCCCTATATGCATATAGTAAAAACTTTTAAAAATCTTCTTTTAAAGAACCCAAAGAGCTAGACCTAAGATATTAAGCAGGAAACATCTTCTAATGAGTGTCTACCAAGATTGTTCAAATAAAAGCCCTGGGGTCAAAATTGGCCCCGCCCCAGGGGGTCATTGAGTTTCCTTATATGCATATAGTAAAAACTTAAAAAAATCATCTTCTAAAAAACCCAAAGAGCTAGAGCTTAGATATTTGGCATTAAACATGTTCTAATGGATGTCTACCAAGTTTGTTCAAATAAAAGCCCAATAGGGTCAAAATTGGCCCCGCCCCAGGGGGTCATTGATTTTCCCTATATGCATATAGTAAAAACTTTGAAAATCTTCTTTTAAAGAACCAAAAGAGCTAGACCTAAGATATTTAGCATGAAACATCTTCTAATAAGTGTCTACCAAGATTCACGGGGGGGAATCACGTGACTTTGTATAGTAATACCCACGAGAAAATGGCGACTGCTGAGCCCCGGTAAGTACCTTATTATGTTAAATTAAGGTGACAAACGTTTCTTAAATAAAAACAAAACCTAGCGTATCATATGCGCGTTAATTTTCTTCAAATGACAATACAAAGTGCATTATCCTACGTTTTGTGGTTTTTGAGAACATTGTTTGAATTGTGTGAAAATTGCACATTCAGCGATAGTAATTTGCACGAAGCGATATAATTTTGGTACCCCCCAAAATAAATGAAAAATAGCTTTCTTTTTGCACTTAAGACACCCAAATCAATCATTTTATTGACATCTGTTCTTGTTAGAATTCCATATAAAATTTTGTTCGAAGGTCTGTAGCCTACAAGTGCTGTTTTGCAAATGTTTAGTAAGTAAAACGAAACAATTTCTGTATAGTAAGTTACACGAAAAAAAATAGTAAGTTTCACGCACAGTTTCCAATAGCTTACTTAAATGTGGCGAAACTATTTTATAATTCTTTTGGTTTCAAATTTGCAAGTGTGTTCCGTCTACGGTGACAGAGAAACAAATATCGAGAGATTATTTTAATAATAATTCATATTATTTTCATAATACATGGTATTCATATTCATATAATTTCATAAAAGATTACTTAACTTAAAAATAACTAAATGAGACATTGACATTGATACTCAACAATGTACGTTACACTTGGCCCTTTTTCACGTTAGACTGGACCCACATCCGTTATCTTTAGAACTAGATTTATAAAGAAATAATAACTGTGCAGAAGGAAATATTACAAACACCATCATTTATTTTTCAGTATCTGCAATTTGGACCGAAAACGCAAAGGAGAAGACCATTCGCCAATTTCACATTGATATTTAATTGCCATCATAGAACTGGTATACAAAGTTTTATTAATTTTATTCTTACACTGGCAGATTTTTATAAATAAACCCAAGAGGTTTTGTTAAAATGTTATGTATTACTATACGTTTATTTTCTTACCATGTGCAAATGTGTTGCGGTCGTAAACTCTTACTTTTTGTTTGTGATAGAGTAAGTAAATAAGATATTCAGTGCGTCCATGGCGGAGTGTTTTAAAGTCCCTGATTTTTATACACATGCTTCTCACCGCTATGGATTCTAGTCCGACCAGAGTCCTTGAATTCTTTCATCAAACTAGCTAACAAAACGTCGTGCTTTAACTCAGGTGTCCCGACATTGACGGTGTGATTTGAAACCCAGCATCTAAGATTGTTTTATGTAAATATTTTTTTTACTCCACTTGCCTTCATATCTTTGACCGTTTGATTTCAAAATATTCGTTTTTCTTTGAATGTCCATTATGCCTCTTAAAATGCTATCATTTTTATTTAAAAAAAACTGTTTATTTTTGGTATCTTGTTACAGTTTCCGAAACATACTCATTTGCTAGATACTCAAACTAGCAAAACTTTTACATCTTTGGTTCTGTTGGAAAATGGTATTATACCTTTAGTGAATAAGTATTTCGTATGGAAGTCAAAATACTATACTTTGTTTACATTTTGCTACCTTAGCGACACATCACTTAATATAATGTTCAGTGCTACCTTTTTCAGTTGTAATAAAATACGTTTTTATCCATTATTTAAACATTATCAAACACATGTTTGACATTTTCTAAAGAATTTAAACAATATGGATTTCTGAGGAACAATGTGCCTTTAATCATAACTTGTATCACTGTATCATTGTTGTTTGTTGTTGTTGTTTTTTTTGTTTTTGTTTTTTTGTAAGAAGTTTATTTTGTTCTTTGCGAATTCTTCAATATATTTTCATAAATTAAGTAACATAGTGACTAAATGTAACAAATACCGCCATATAAAAACATCGATCAGCATTCAGTTAATAAACATCACCATACCAATTAACAAGCAATTATATTTGTTCATTACAGTAAAAATGAGGGCCAAAGACAACACCTGAAACTGCAGAGGTCAAAGAACTACTATCGCCACAAAAAAATAACACTGAGCCGTGTTATATCAAATCCCATCAAAAGTTCATTTGATATATTATAATAGCAACCAATCAAGCATTCGTCCTATAGACAAAAAATGTGAAATATTTGATCTTGCATAATTGAAATAAGTATTTTCTATCTCTTAACATATGAACTTTAACTTTCTTTTAATGTATAATGTATGCTAATGGAATCTGTGCGTGAAACTTACTTTTTTTTTTTCGTGTAACTTACTATCCAGAAATTGTTCGTTTTACTTACTATACATTTGCAAAGAACATTTGTAGGCTACAGACCTTCGAAAATATATTTTATATGAACTTCTACGATAACAGATGTCAATAAAAATGATTGATTTTGTGTCTTAAGTGCAAAAAGTAAGTTTATTTTCATTTATTTTGGTACCAAATTATATCGCTTCGTGCAAATTACTATCGCTGAATGTGCAATTTTCACACAATTCAAACAATGTTCTCAAAAAACCACAAAACGTAGGATAATGCACTTTGTATTGTCATTTGAAGAAAATTAACGCGCATATGATACGCTAGGTTTTGTTTTTATTTAAGAAACGTTTGTCACCTTAATTTAACATAATAAGGTACTTACCGGGGCTCAGCAGTCGCCATTTTCTCGTGGGTATTACTATACAAAGTCACGTGATTCCCCCCCGTGAAGATTGTTCAAATAAAAGCCCTAGGGTCAAAATTGGCCCCGCCCCAGGGGGTCATTGATTTTCCCTATATGCATATAGTAAAAACTTAAAAAAATCTTCTTTTAAAGAACCCAAAGAGCTAGACCTAAGATATTAAGCATGAAACATCTTCTAATGAGTGTCTACCAAGATTGTTCAAATAAAAGCCCTGGGGTCAAAATTGGCCCCGCCCCAGGGGGTCATTGATTTTCCTTATATGCATATAGTAAAAACTTAAAAAAATCATCTTCTAAAAAACCCAAAGAGCTAGAGCTTAGCTATTTGGCATTAAACATGTTCTAATGGATGTCTACCAAGTTTGTTCAAATAAAAGCCCTGGGGTCAAAATTGGCCCCGCCCCAGGGGGTAATTGATTTTCCCTATATGCATATAGTAAAAACTTAAAAAAATCGTCTTTTAAAGAACCAAAAGAGCTAGACCTAAGATATTAAGCATGAAACATCTTCTAATAAGTGTCTACCAAGATTGTTCAAATAAAAGCCCTGGGGTCAAAATTGGCCCCGCCCCAGGGGGTCATTGATTTTTCCTATATGCATATAGTAAAAACTTTAAAAAATCTTCTTTTAAAGAACCCAAAGAGCTAGACCTAAGATATTAAGCATAAAACATCTTCTAATAAGTGTCTACCAAGATTGTTCAAATAAAAGCCCTGGGGTCAAAATTGGCCCCGTCCCAGGGGGTCATTGATTTTCCCTATATGCATATAGTAAAAACTTAAAAAAATCTTCTTCTAAAAAACCCAAAGAGCTAGAGCTTAGATATTTGGCGTAAAACATGTTCTAATGGATGTCTACCAAGTTTTGTTCAAATAAAAGCCCTGGGGTCAAAATTGGCCCTGTCCCAGGGGTTATTGATTTTCCCTATATGCATATAGTAAAAACTTAAAAAAAATCTTCTCTTAAAGAACCCAAAAGAGCTAGAGCTAAGATATTAAGCATGAAACATCTTCTTATCAGTGTCTACCAAGTTTGTTCAAATAAAAAGCCCTGGGGTCAAAATTGGCCCCGCCCCAGGGGATCATTGATTTTCCCTATATGCATATAGTAAAAATTTAAAAAAATTCTTTTAAAGAACCCAAAGAGCTAGACCTAAGATATTTAGCATGAAACATGTTCTAATGGGTGTCTACCAAAATTTGTTCAAATAAAAGCCCTGGGGTCAAAATTGGCCCTGTCCCAGGGGTTATTGATTTTCCCTATATACATAGAGTAAAAAGTTAAAAATCTTCTATTAAAGAACCAAAAGAGCTAGAGCTAAGATATTTAGCATGAAACATGTTCTAATGGATGTTTACCAAGTTTGTTCAAATAAAAGCCCTTGGGTCAAAATTGGCCCTGCCAGGGAGAGGGGGGAGGGGGGCAAAAGTCATTGTTATTCATTATTTGTGTATAGTAAAAACTTAACATCATGAAATATCTTCTAATGGGTGTCTTCCAAGTTTGTTGAAATAAATGCCCTTTGGTTTAAACTGGCCCGGCCCTGGGGGCCTATGTTCAGGTGAGCGACCCCAGGGCCATCATGGCCCTCTTGTTTAAAAAAATGAGTGTTTTTTCCACCTTAAATGGTTAAATAATAATAGAAATAGGAATATCGCATAGTAACATTGTGTACTGCATTAGATGTAATTCCCCTGAGCTAAATCAGTAACATACTGGAAAACGGTGTTTAGTTAGGTTTTATAAAAGGTCAATGTGCAAATAATGTTGGATTCGTAATTGGATTTGAAAGTTGAAACAGTGTTGAAGTGTCAACATCGATGCAATGTTGTGGTTTTGACATTGGCACAACATTGAAAATTTAATGTCATTTCGTTGTTGAAAACCAACCATATTTCAAGTTTAAAATGTTCAATTTATGCTATCCGATTAAGTTAATAAGATTGTACAAATGATATGCTGGTGTATGCATTTGTCTATTTAAGTCATGCAACACATTTAGTTCCTTCAACGAATGTGGAAGTTGTTTCATAAATAAGCATAATTTTCTTTCTATTATTTAGCTCCGAGTTCTGTGACTTTTCTGCGAGAGATAGTAGTGAGAAGTTTTTTGGAGCAAGGAGAAGTGGTTATAAATTACATTAATGGGAGATTTGATGTCTCTTTTAAGAATATTTGTTTTTGATTGACCAAACATTAGGTGGGACAAAATACAATGCATGTATGAAACAGTTTATTAAGTAACTCATATCAAAATTAATAATTGTAACAAAATTACAAATATTGTGAAGGGAAGTGTGCAGCATCCTGAAGACTTAACACAGATAAAACACAGAACGTGTCAAAAATACTAAATTATTAATCCAACTTACTAAGTTGAAATATTTATCCTGTGTGAAAAAAATACTTAGTATTACAATTTCATCACTAATTTTACTTTGGAGAGACAGTGAAACCATAATTATGAAATTAATTTGTTAGGGCAATTTCAATTCTTAACTCATGACATTTTAAAAAAAAAATCGAAAGAATTTTAAAATTTAACAAACCTTACATTCCTTTCCTTGTTTAATGTATAATGTACAACTATAATACTCTCAATTTTAGTGGAAAATAAAAAAAGATCTTCAATTATAAATGTATAACAATTAATACATGAACAGTTTCACACTCATCTGTTATTGAACTTCAATTTTATCAAGCTTAATCAACATTGTTTTTTGACAATGCATTTAATATTCCACTTTTTAACTAAATAATCATTGTATAGTTAAGATATAAATGCAGATTGACAAATTGACTTTGGATGAAAATCATGTGAGCCGAACACCCAGTTTTAGGGTACAATTTCATAACTAAATATATTTATTAGGGTATAGCACATCTAAGTTGCAAAATTACAATATATTAATATTAATAATAAATATAAGAAGGCCAATTACTTGTAAAACATGAATTGTCAAGATCCTCATTAACTTCAAAGTGCCAAAACCAAACCATTCATTTGGGTCACAAAAACATGTCAAATCAGCTTTAGTAATATTATATTTTATCAGCACAATGAGCAAAGCCTGAGCAAAATGTTCTCAAGATCAGAGCGTCTGTGATAGTCTTGTTTGTTGTCCACCTGTAATCTGTTGATTACAAATGTAAATTTTGGAGTGTCCGTGGCAGAGTGGTTAAGGTCGTTGACTTCAAACCACTTCACCCTCAAGGCTGTGGGTTCGAATCCCGATATAGAGTTAGGATTCTTTCCTGTGAGGAAGCCATCCAACTTGCTTACGGAACGTCAGTGGTTCTACTCAGGTGCTTGTTTGTGCCTGAAATACTGCACAGAAGAGAATCTGAGGTCTTTCTCCACCAGTAAAGCTGGAACGTAGCCATAATTTATGACCTATACAGTGTCGATGTAACGTAAAACCCAATCAAACAAACAAATATAAATTTATGTTGCTCATTAATCTACTGTTCAATTTGTGCATTAATTTTGAGTGTTAAGAGATTTCTCATTACATTTCAGAATTTATTGAGTAATGTCTGAGAACAGCCATGACAAGATTCAAGAAAGCCGACAGGGTAACCAGATGTCTGTACAGAATTTACCAACTAATCACATGATCCAGAGCAACCAATCAGAATCAAGATACCATGTCTTGTTGTATAACCAGAGCAACGGTGCCCCTCAAACATTTGAAACTAGAGGAGGGAGGAGCTATGCCATTGTACAACTTGGCCAACACTTTAATCTGCAAGTGGAAAACCAGTCAAATTCAAATACGTTTATTCTTGATAATAATAATGATTTGACCAGTACAGATTTACAAAATAATTACACACAGTCTGATAAAAGTCTCAAGTCTGAAAACTTTGTACAATCAAGCAAAAATTACAACATTAATCAGGATCAAAACACAAATGCTACAGAACTAAACAATCATAACCAGTCTATGAGGAATAGAATCTTAAATTCAGAGAACCAATCTTCACATGAAACAAGAATCCTTAACAATGGCAATCAAACCTCTGAATGTAATGCTGAGTTTCTAAAACAATCTGCTGTCACATCCACAAACTATCCAGTAAATAGGTCTGTGAGAACAAGCCCATTTAGCCCAAGAAGTCAAGTCTCCGTAGCATCTTCACAAAATACTTGTTACCCATCAGTGAACCACTCTCAGTACCAAGTAAACCAGTCTGCATGCTCAACAACACAGTTTCAGGGAAACCAGACTGTAAACTCTTCAATGGAATCTACTGATAATTTGTATGTAAACCAGGCAAGTTGGTATCCAAGTAGCCAGAATGTGACCTCCGCGTCATTTCAATATGTAAGAAATCAGCCTTCATCCACCGCAACTCAAAATCATGACAATCAAATAAGCAGTGTAAGTCATCGTAATGCCAGCCAAAGTTATGTTACTACAACAGCACAATATCAAACGAAGGTTTGCGACTCGCAGCCGGTCTTTGACACAAAATTATATGGCGACAATCAGGCTCTGTATAGCACAGCGCAGTACATTATTAACCAGATTCCAAAATTCTACTTTCCACTTTCAAAAAAAAACCAGTTTTGTAGAGTAAAAAATACAAAAATTTTTCAGAACACAGCTACAAATTGAAAAAAGGTAAGATACTTAAACCCTTTCCATGTTTTTTAACAAATTTTTTCAGGGGTTTATTTGAGGAACTTAATTTTATAAAACCCCCCCTGAAATCCTGTCCTGGAAGTTGGAACTAACCAGTACTGAGCAATGAGTGTAAAGTGTTTCTGCTGAAGGAAAGATGGCATGCTCCTGGCGGGGGTTTGAACCCACATTCCTAACGATCCTTAGATTATTAGTCCGACGTGTAAGACACTTGGTCATATAACCACTTCAATGATCATTTGATAAATGATATATTTATATTGTAAAGATGCCTGATATTTGTTACAAATTACTCTTTCAAGATAAGGTAACAGAATGTTTCAAAGTGTGTTTATGAAAATGAAAGGGCATAGCTCATTATAGGCTTTGTAAGCCACTGCCTACACTTTTTCCAAGAAAATGAAAAAAAAAGCAAAACATAGCTTGATTACCAGCAATAACAGACAACCCACAGAATATACTTGAACCAAATAGACATGCACCTCAGATAAATGAAGGCAGGAAAACCTGCTGTTATAAAATATCAAAACAGTTTTATTTTTCATTATAATCCAGTGTTCTTTGAAATGGTAAATTATGAAATAAATTACCATTATAATATTATACCATTATAATTGATTGAAATACCATTTTCTTTTTGGGCGTACCATACTATACCTCAGGTGTGTGGCACTTCAAAATTATTTGTGTTTTAGTGTGTTTATTAGTAGAAATGATTTTGCTCGTTGGATTTCTGTAAACTGGTTTTGAAATTGATTAATAAGTAATGTTATTATAAGTCTTTCTTGAAAGATGTGTCTTTGAACAGGAACAGCTGTAATATCTGATCTCTTCCACATTTGTACATATATTTATAGTCAAATTAGTCTGCACACCTGTACAATCTGACCAGATTTTGTACTCTTTGCTACATAATATTAGCATTTTGATATTAAAATCCCTTCAATAAATATGAACTGCTTCAAATTTGAGACAAGTGCAAATATAATGTTGAAGTTCTTAATGAATTTGCATTGTATGTGAGTTTTGACCATCGTTTTCAGAACGGGTTTGTCAAAATGTTAAATTCATGAAATGAGTACATTGGGAAAAAGTTGAGACAGTCCTGACAAAAGGCAAATAATTGACGGCAAGTTGTTGTGAGGAGGCAGTCATACAGATCAGAACTGGTCCCCTTATCTGACCTTAAAAAGAGATTGATGAATAAAGTTGTGCTTATAGTTTATATCCTTTCGACGGCCATCCGCTATACCCGTAGGACGGCCAAAGCGTAAGAAAACGTATCGAATTTTTACATTTCTGAAAGCCAGTCTAATTTTTAAGACAGACGTCCATAGTGTAGTTAAACGTATCAAAAATATACCTTTCTAGAAACCGTAGGGTAAATCAGCGTAAAACTTGAATTTTGTGTCATGCAAACCCGTAAAAACCTCGTTTTCGTACATTCTGGTTTTTTAATGTGTTTATGAAAAATCAAAATATTACGCTATGGCTGTTCAACTGCTTACGATAAAGAACAAAGCCATACCGTATAACACTGTTAATATTACATTATTACTGCAATAAACAGACTCACAATCCTTGTTTTTTAAAACAAGTTCTGAACGTTTTAAAACGGTAAATTCTACGTTATTTACCTATATAGCCCATAAGAATACCATGTTGAGTAAAATGTCCACAACGTTTTAAAACGTAATTATTGAAAATCAATGAAAATCAATTTTTCTCAGGAAGGGTGATTGATACTAAGCTTTTCAACCTGAATTTTGTAAGTTCAACTCATTTTTGTTTCAAATAAGAGAACTGCTTACAGAAACTCCGTTTGATGTATCAATAAATGCATTTTAAAATACTATACCATTTAGAAGATTTTCTTCAATTAATTTGGATATTGGTTTGATTACCACATTAATTAAAAAGTGTACTGTATATCTAAACATTTACTATATCTGTTAATAAAGGGCACTATACAATTAACATATTTGGTGTTTTTATTTGAACAACGTTTAACAGAATATAATAAATGAAAGGTAAACTTCAAGAATTTTGTCATTTAAAGCCTTCCTACGACAAAACAGTAGTGGCTTTCAGGAAGCCAAAATTTTATACCGGTTTATTACGTTAAAGCCTTCTTATGACTAGCGCCCGGCTTTTGAGAAGTCAATTTTTCGGTACGTTTTATTACGCTATGGCCACAGAAAGTATATTATCTTATAACTGCTGTTACTCAAGCTTACATTGTTTTTTCATTCATTAGATAACTCTTGTTTGTTCTGTAATTTAAAGTTATAAGAGTTATCTCTCTTTGTATATGTGTAGCATGTTTTTTCGTCTGTTTGAGGTTACGGCACACTCTCAAACCAGTCAATGAATTTTGAATTTTCTGGCCCGAATTCCAGATTTGAATTTATTCTACTGTATTTAACTAAATTTTCTTAAAATTTACACTGATCAGAACTAATTTACACTGGCCATGGGCCACCGGGCCAGTGCTAAATTCGATGACTGTCAAACTAGCCAGTACTTCAAGTGAGTATAAAAGTTTTGCTCAAGGAAACAATGTTTTGCCCCTGACAGTGTTTGATGCCATGTGGCCAGTGATCCTGACTAGACTTGACATAATAACCACCTTCCCATGCCACCACTGACATTGTTTAAGCTCAGAATACAGGGAAATTTACGTGTGGGTGACCCAGGCCCAGGCCAGCACATCTGTTAAGTTTTACCAGTCTATATAATGTTGACTGCTCTGTTTTAAAATTTTAAACTGAAAGTCCTTAAACAGTGACTTACCCCAATATTTTACAGCCGAATAAAGGCTGTTTCCCCTAGTTCAAAATAAGTATATTTTCCCTTGAAATGCTATATTTTCCCCTGAAATACCTTGTGCATATTTTTCACCAGAAGCATGGCTTAACAGCAGCCGACTTCAGTTATTTGATTAATTTAATTGTTAATTTAATTGATTGAAAGACAGAAAGCTATCAGATAGCCTCTGCTACATACTGTGCATGTTAAATAAAAAAGAAAATTTTATAATATTTGTGATAAATTCCATTCTCAGTTGTTTGAATATGATTTCAGGATTTCCCCCTTTTCCAGATTGATCGTTCTATATTTTCCCCTTCAGAAAGCCACAAGTTGATTTGAAAATTGAAATAAAAATCACTGTTAAATTTCTAACAAATGGACTGTTCCAAATTCAAAGCAAAATCTGTTCATTTCACAAATACAGGAAGGTATTTTCAAGGACGTAAGAAGTTCTTGTTTTCTCATTAAAAGTCCTTAATGAAGGGTAAGAACAAAACAGGAAGTCTTAAAATACACTAACAAAGGCTACATGACAGTTTGCTGTTAGACCATATTGAACAAATTACTATAGACAATAACAAGAGATTTCCCTGAAGAGAGTAATAAAAAGAAACCATCTTAAATTAAATCCCTGCAACCTAGTGACATTAAAATAACAGAGATGGGGGAGTATTGTAAGAGATTCCGAGAATTTTTTTTCTTTTTAAGCAGACGCGACAGATTGAAAATAGCAAACTGAACTTGAGTTATATTAAATTATGATTAGTAGTAGGCGTTTAGGTTTCTATCTCCAGAAATAAAACTAATATTACGACCTTTCATGGATCCCCCCCCCATTCCCCCCCTCCCTCAGTGATTTAGTGGTACAAAAAAATCTGTACTTGACAACAGTTTAACCTCAATAATTTCAAATCAGGAAAATTGTAGCATACTAGGTTTGTTGTTTTAATTTCTTTCTTACAAAGTTTCATGTTACTCAATGATATTGGTATTATATTGAATGGGGGTTGCTATTTCCGTACTAATATAACGAGTTAAAACGGGGGAAATATGAGATTCAAGTTTAATGTCAAGATTAAAACCTTGGTGAGCATATGGTGATGTAATTGTTATACTTGTTCAGTATACTATAATTTAAGGGAAGAAGATATTATGTAAACAAAATCAGAAACGTGGGAACTCCTTATTGCATCACAACGTTGATTTTTCTAGAACTACCACCGTTATGAAAGGATTTCAATTACCTTAATGAATTTGTACATCTCAAGTGTAGATTGATCATCCCTAAATATTTACATGTGTATAGATTTGGCTATTGTAAGTTTCATAACCGCATGATGACGAAACTTGTCGTTGGTGAAAACTTGCACGTTCACAGAAAGTACTTGATATTATTGTATCAAAAGTATGACACTCCCTGTCCTCAATTTGTTCATATATATTTATGTGTTTAAGAGGTTTTGAGATTTGTACATGAACAGTTTGTAAAAGGATGGGCGCATCCAATTTGAAATCATTTTCATCATCAAGTGTCATTGCGGGCAGTTAACATTGATCATAATTATTTTTATTTTCGAAATGGATTGTTTTTATATTTTGTCGAAACCACCCTTTAGGTAAGCCAGACTGAACTTAACCTTGACTCATAAATGACCTTGACCTATGAGGTAAAATTGAGACTGGCTTAAACTTTATTTCATTGGCGTCCGCGCCGAAGCGCGGCGCCCCTTTATGGAATGAAATCAGATTTTGTGAAAGGGCGACAGCAACTTCTCGAGCCTTTTAGTCGGTCATAATAAAAGCCGACCATTCTGATTCTTGATTATTAAATAATCCGTGGTACAATGAATAGCGAACTTGCAAACATTTTCAAATGAAATAACCTTTTCCGTCAATAAATCGCGCTCTTCGTTTTTTTTATTTACCCAGTGGGTTATTATGGTATGTTATTGTTGTACATTTATCCGAAAGCTGTAAATAGAATGATGAGTTGATGACCTAAATATTCCGAAAATCTATTTATAGAGGGATGTGCTCCTATCGGTAATTCCCGGTCTCTCCCGGTCTATTTTGACTGGGATTTACTAGTGACCACACGTTTATTGTCCGGTCTCT